TGGTCAAACATTCTCAGAGAACAAAGATCTTAACCCAGACTTTCAAAGCATCCCAACAGAGACCAGCCTAGAAAAACCGAGCTTTTAAATGATTGTGCAACATTCTCCAAAGACAGGATTACAGCTTTAATATCTTTTAACTCAGAATAAATCCCTAATTCGTTGTCGTCGGTTGGAAAAACCTGAGTGAGTCTCTGCAGATTTTAAAATGATTCTTCCCTCCATGTTCTGAACATGGATAAGTTCATTACTTGGCTTTATTTTAGCAGATTATCGCTAGCCTCGTGAGACCATCCTGATCTCGCGAGCTTTCAAGGTTTCACTCGCAGATCAGTCTGTAGACTCTCCGTTAAAGAAAATTTGGAGCCGTTCACCAAACGAACGTCCAATCAGCGTAGGCTTTGAGGCGGGTTGAGGTGTGACGCAACGAGAAGCGCGACAGTTCAGTCTAAAGAACATGGCGGCTTCAGCCGATGAAACTAGCGTTAGCGTGGCTATCGATCAAGTTTTATTGGAATTACAAAGTATTTCTTCACTGAAAGAAGAGCAAAACACTGCTCTGGAGGCTTTTCTCAGAGGAAAAGATGTTTTTGCTCTTCTCCCGACTGGTTTCGGCAAGAGTAGCCTGGCTGTTAGTACGTCATATGCTTCGTTGATCTGATTGGTTCATTTGGCCCGTCTATCACCAACATAGGTCAATCAGCTAACCAGTATTTTCGCCCCTTCCCAAAATTACTTCAACGGAAGGTTTCCAGATGGATATGCTGAGTCAGGTTAGATTATCGCACCCCACCACCAAATTGATGTCGACTCTTTTCACCGTCCCGTTTATATCCATGACTGCCGTAAATGTAAAAACATAACCGAGCAGAGAAAATATTGGACTGGACCGACTTTGGAGGTAGCTGCCCTGAGGTGATTTTCTCAGAACCCCCTCCTGAACCAAGTGAGAGCCCCTCCAGGCAGCAGGTCCGTCATGGTCCCCTACCTAGCAAAGAACTGGATCCAGTTGAAGGCCAGGTGAAGGCAGAGCACTCAGTCAGGAATGCATCAGTAACCCTGAACCAGAGTTGGTGCATAATTTAAAAGGTGGGAACCTGAACCCTTCTTTATGAATATAAAACCCTGCATGGGGAAAACACGAGTAATTCATCCACCACAGGCCTTAAAGCCCACAGCAGAAGGCCAGGGCAACGCCTCCTGCAGCACATTATGCAAAGCAGGAAAACAGAAACAAAGCATTAATTCTATGTTTAAGGGCACTAAAACTTTTCTTCTTCAGGATTTCTGCATCTCTTTAAGGGTAGATTTGAGTTTTAGAGACAGAAAACAGTTCAGATCAGCTTTTTTTTTTTTTACGTGTCAGACAGTCTTCCTACTCCATGAGGACAGCTGGACTTTGATCTGTTTATCAAGTGACTAAAAACGATTCATCCAGTGCGCTGGTCATTTCTTTGGGGGAGGATGCTCCTTAAAGAAACTGCAAATGTATGCATGGATGCATATTTTCTAACCATTAAAGCTTTAAGCTACAGACCTGTGATTCTCTGACATTCAAAGAGAATATTTTCTGTTATTTAGATGAAGACTATCAGGCAGGGACCCTATGCTGATTCCCTCAGGGTCCTAAATCTGTGGGGGAATCCTTTGAACAGACAACACTGTATGACAAAGGAAGGGGGTGTTTACTTTAAAACATGCCCAGGAACCAGGAGAGGGAATAAAATAAAGAGATTTTTCTTCTCATTAGTTCAAACTTTGGCCTCATCTGTTGAGATGCTGGTCAGACAGTTTAATCTTTCAACTCTTTGCTCCAAGTAAAAAGACCAGGGGTTTCAACAGGTCTGTCATTTGTCTTTTAGAAAGGTGAGTGTTGGGATTTCACCAACATCCAGATGTGCCAGAAAGTGGTGCTGAGGCTTTGGAGACACTTTTCTTCAACTTACAGCAGAAACAGATCATTGCGGTTTTCTATAATTAAAACAAGGTTGGACTAAAGAGTGAAGTAAACCAGCAGGGTCAGACTCATGTCAATACATCCATTTGTATTCAGTGTCCGTTTAATGAATGGCGTTCATTGAATAAGTTCCTATTTTTAGTGACCTAGGGCTGGGTATTTAGGTGTATTTGCAATATAATCGCAAACATAGAAAAATGCTATTTCAAATCAAAGAGCCACTGATTTTAGTCACAATACATTTAACAACATTAACTAAATTTCTCCCGGTAATATGATTAAAATGGGTATACTGCTGCACAGAAGGAACAGAGAGTTGCAGCTACTACTTAGATCTGTGCATTATAATAGAGGGAAGAACTTTTTCATTCAAATGTTACAGTAATGTCCTGCAGCACTGGATTCTGGATAGGCAGGCTTTCAAGATCATGGAAAAGCTGAAACCATGGAAGAAAACATAGACATGAAAATATGGGTTGAAAATAAATGGAATTTTGATTTTTGACAAAATCGTTCAGCCCTACTGAACGGATCAGTTTTGAAGTAATAAACATGAACCAGAGCGACGTTCACTCTGAGAAGAATTAGCGACACACACAGCTAACGTTAGGGTTCAATTGATAACGACACTTTTCATTGGATAACGTCAGGTTTTAAGGCAAACAGCCTGACAGAGTCACAATGTCTACTTCCAGTACTAGTCTGCTTCATTCAGACTCATTTGCTGGTATTTCTGATGCCAGTTTAGCAGAGCGCTGGGCAGAGTTTGATCAACTAACAAAGAAAGCATGGGACAGAAAAAAAATCACGTTTTAGTGCAAACTGGTCCCACCAAGAATTAACAAACAAGTCTGTACATCCACCTCAAATTTAAAGCCACACATTGAGTTAAAGCTGAAGTCTGTAAGTTTTTAAAAATCACTTTTTTGTCATATTGGCTAAAACTGTCCCTATGCCCAGCAGCAGTACATGTGATATGTAACCTGTGAAAAAAACTGCTTCAATTGGTCCCGCATACTGCCTGTATTTCAATCTGGAAAGAATAATTCGGGACGAGTCAAAACAACCAATCACAGCCAGAGGAGCGTCTGATGGAGTGTCAATCACAGCTCACACACGCTGAATCCCCCCCTTCTGGTCGCATGCGGTAGCCGCGCAGATGCTGTGAGAGGGGTGGAGCTTGGAGGTGGGGCATGAGTGAAGCAGAGAGGGTGGGGGAGTGACGTGAAACCTGTTTTTCTTCAAATTTTCAGTCGAAGTCTGCTCTCTTCTCAATGTTACAGACTGCAGCTTTAACGCATCCGAGCTATCTTGGTAAATATCGGCTACTAAATGAGGAGAATGGAAGAAATCATTTTGATCCAGATCTTGTCAGCAGAACCTGAATGTTCCTTTATGTTTCTGAAGTTCTGTGTGTTTTGGCTAAATAAAGGCTTCACTGCACATCAATTATACCTTGACTTATCCATTATTTCCCATTTCTTTCTATATATTATGATCACACATTTAAAAGGGGGGAATATGAAGTTCTATTGTAGAGGATTGTGGCTTAATTTGCCAAATTAACTTGAACTAGTTCATTTATAGGTTTGGAAAGTTAGTTCACTTTTCCAAAAAAGAACTATGAAGGTGAGCTAGTTAATTTTCAAATGAACTGAACTTTGACCTTGTTCTTTTAAATATGAACTAGAACAACATTGTTTGTATCATTACCTATGAAACACCCAGTGTTGCCTGTGGTCAACGGCCAACCCTCCAACGGCCAACTAAATAAAATTAAAGCCAATACCTCTAGAGTCCATCTACTGTAGCTGATTTTCTTTGTTTGATGAATAAAAGTTAATTTCAGATTAAAAATATTTGCTGCTGATGTGGTATAAAGATATTCCCTAAGCATCAAGTTCTCTGCAGTTTGGCTATTCTGGTAAATCTAATTTAATTGAAGACTGAAGAGCAGCAGATTGATCACTTGCAGCATTCGGGTTTGGTTCTACAAATTACCAGTCTAGTTCTGCTCCCATCAAATCCATTCAAGGAAAGGAAAGACATTTAGCAGAACTTTAAGAGACAGAGCCTGACACATGTACATTTACACACTTTTCCTGGATTTCTATTGAACCAAACTATTTTGTTCTAAATAATAAAACCGCTGTCATGTCAGCGATGACAATACTAAACATTAAACCACCAGGTTTATCTGTAAACGGGTGATATTATCCAGGCTTAAACAATCCAAGCTGTGTGAATCAGCTGATCTCTTTTGAGGTTTGAGTTTAGCTGCCCTGATCAGTGTTACCACATCGCAGGGCTGCATAGTATGTCACACGTGTATAACCACGGTAATCTGTGTGATATTCACACATTTGTTGTTTTAATATCTGCAAACTTTATGAACATTTTTAAAGAAAACAATTAAAATAGACTAAAAGGTTTTCTGATATTCTAATAGCAGCTAAAGTCCAGTGGTGCTGATCAGCCCAGACATTCATGGGAGGTAACCACCAACGTTCTGGGAATTAGATCAGGCCTACTGTAGCTGTATTTACTCTTTTTATTCATTTCTTTCCTAAAATAATTATCTTTTTCGGGGCCTACGCACTCAAAAAGTCACCAATAGGCTCAAAATCATCCTGTTGCGAACTTTGGCGTATTTCAAGAGAATTTTCAATGCACCCAAACATCAGTGTAACACAGACATCTAAAACTTGTCCACAATCCATCAAGTCCACAGAAAAGCTTCATTTCACTGATCAACTCAGTGGTTGGGCAGTTTGATGACATCACCTTGGCCCCACCTACTTAGACAAGAAAGTTAGCTTCCTGGGATAAATGCAGAATGCCGATTTCCTTATAATCCAAGTATAAAACTCTGTCTAATAAGATAATTTATTTACAGTTTCCAAATTATACAGGAAGTCATTAGTGTCCCTTTGCCAACAAACAGGAAGTGGCATCAACACATACAGGAACCATGCCTGGAGCCAGAGCGATTTTAAGGCTGGTCTTAAGCGGCTTTAATTACTTGGATAATTTCTCCACCCACCTGTGGCAGAGCAGTGTTGAGTTGCCTCTGCAGGGAGTCCCTTTCATGGCTGACTTCATGCAGTTTGCTCTGAGTCAGACCCAGGTTCTCCTGAGTCTCCCTCAGAGTGTCCAGAAGGCGATCCCTCTCCTCCAGCATTGACACCATCAACGACTCAAAGTGACCCTCGGACTCTGACTGCAGTGGGGAGCCGGAGCCTCGGCGGCCGCTGCCGCTCCCCCCGCCGGGCCCTTCCGTCTCGCTGATGGTGGGCATCACCTCACACATCATCTTCAGCCATGTGGTGGTGAGGCGGAGCAGCGCGTATTAAGAAATGCAAGAAAAGAAAAGAATTAGATGAATATCATTAAATGTTTTCCATTTACTGTTTATGACAACATACATGAGTGAACATTACCAACATAAAGAACCCCCCATTCAACGGGTTTGGAAGACTAAATTGATCAACGTCTTCTCTCCTGCATCTTCTGCTTCACATCAGAGAAGTTCAAAGTCTAAACTTTCACTTTAACTTCTTGATTTGCTAATAAAGTGAGAAAAATCTCAACATGAATAACTAGAAGCATGTTTCTCACTAATCCATTAATGTCGTTGAAGCTTGCCAGTTGCAAACATAACAGAAACATTCTCTGAAGTTTAGAATTTCAACAGGGAGCAGCTCGGGGTTCAATATTAGCTGTAGCTCCCAATAGAAATGACTGGAACTATGAGCATTATTCTCTCATTAAACTACTGTTACTCACAGAACAGTTAAAAGAATAAAACCTTTTGTTTTTGCGATAGTTCGAAACACAACTACCTATTTTTCTGGTAGTTTTGAACTTTAAGCAGAGCCAAGATGTGACTTTGCTGCCGACCAAGGCGCTAACTTCTATAACAAATCAAAAGCAGCATAAATCACACCACACACAGAGATATCCAAAGAATTTATCTGCATCATCTTCCATGACAAAGATTTCACAAGAGTTCCTGCCGTTAAAGCTTGTGAAATAATGACTACATGAAAGTTATTGTTCAAATTAAATCCTTTGAACTAACATCTAGTTATTAAAGGAGCTATAAGTAAAATATCATTATTCTAGTTTAAGTCTGTCTAAAGTCGGTCCTCGGGGGCCGCTGTCCTGCAGGTTTTACAGTTTTCTCTGCTTTTAGCACAGCTGATTCTGATGATTGAAGTTCAACAAAAGCCTGTTAAATCTGCTATCAATGAAAATCTACGAAAAGTAAAATTAGAGCTGAGAATAACTTATGCTAGAGCTGCAAAAAGAATCCCACCCCAGTCAGAAAGTCACACATCAACAGTGATGCAAATAGAAAGTTAAAAACCTTTGGAGAGTTCCAACACTGCAAAAAGACTCATTGATTGTTAAAGAAGAACGATTTTGTACTTTTCATTGTAGAAGTTATCAACTGTACAGCTCAGACAACAAATAAATACATTTAAAAAAATCTAAATAATAGTGAGAGCTGCAGAAAAATACCTTGGGGTGAGAGATTTAAACTGGGAAACAGTTAAATGTATAAAAATGATAGGGATGTCTCGATCAGCATTATAGGCCTCTAATCCAATCTTTTTACCTCAAATCTAATTCAGTTTCAAATCCCGATCCGATACTTTGCCTTTAGTAATGACATTTATAAAACTCAAATATATTTTGGCAAGTAACTCAACTCCTTATAATAATTTCATTAATAAGCATTAATATTACCATTATAAATCCCATAAAATCTGAAGCTTGCAGAAAACTAAAGGTCTGCATCAGTTTAATATTTAGAACAAAAGTAAAAAGCAAAACACTGACTTGGTTCAGTTTGGCTTGTCTGACATGTACTGCTCTATGAGCCCCGCTGAACTGATGACCATGCAGTACGGCACACTTTAAATCATAAGTTTCAGGTTCAGTAGGGAAATCGGCCAAATGTATGCGATCCAAATATGAGTAGTAAAACTAACAACAACATTTTGATTCTCAAGTGACCTTGTTTTGTTTCTCTAACTTTCCTGTTCAGGTGTAGGGTGACTGTGTTGGCAATGCAGTGTCTGGAGGGCAGAGCGTAGTGTGGGTCCAAAACCTCCAGCAGACGTCAAAAGGCTGATATATACTCAGAAACCCCAAGTCTAATCCTTCCAAAACTGATTCCAAAGCTGAGTCAAACGAGAACTGTTCAATAGTTGTTGCCATCTTCCTTGTAATGCTTTCTCCAGCGTCGCACAGCTTAGTCGTCAGGCTCTCAAAACCCCGCCTGCTTTGCATCCAGAAATTCAAAACACATCTCTGCGTTGTGATTGGCCCGCCAGTTCAGAGCCTGGGGCATTGATCGAGGCTAGCTAGACCACTCGCAGGCAAAAATGATTTCGGCCGCTGGCGGATGGGGCTAGTTTACTAGGCTAAAAAAACTCCACTATACCTTTAAATTCAAAATATGTTAACCTTACTTTATAAAATAATGAATGAGTTTTTATGCAAAGACTGAATCCAAATCCCATATATCTGATTTTAACAAAAATGCAGTAATCAGGGCCGACACATTACAAGGTAGGTGTGGCAATCAAGTAATTATTCTTGTACAACAGTTTCAGAAGGAAAAAAAAAAAAAAAAAACTATATTTACGTAACATTTACATCTTGCTTTGTTACCCAAGGCAAAATTTTCTGGAGCTTTGTTCATGTTTTAATGTGAAAAAAAAACCATAATTAGTATTATGTTTCGCCAGCTCTGCTGCAAGCTGTCAATCACATTTCACCGCCCACTCCCTTCAGATTGGGATCAAAATCTGAGTGTGAATAAAACTGATTTGAAAGTGTAAAAAAAAATTCTGAAACTGAAAAAAGAAAGAAAAGAAACTAAAAGAAAGGGATTTGAATCTGAAAATCTAAAACTGCAATAAAGAAAATAAATAAAAAAGAAAAAAGTGTAATTAAAATGCTAAACAGAAATTAGATTAAATTATTAATTTATGTTAGCTTTTTTAGTTTCTCACAAGGTAGAAATTTTACTTTAAATATCAACTTCTATTTTTTCTGTTTCAACTGAGATTTATGAGTTTACAAATATTTTGACCCCTTTCTGACTCCATAGAAGACACTCCTGACAGCTCTACCTGCTGTCATGTTACCAACAGCAGAACTATTGTTGCTTTCATGTGAAATTGCTTAATTCACCAAAAACACAGAAAAGTCACATTTCTCACTAGTTACTTTAAAAAAATGGTGAAGGGGTCCGAAAAGTACCCAGATATGTTGAGGTCACTAAGTTGGCAACACTGGACAATCTCCTCCAGTTTTCCTTCAGTACTGAGAGCAGAGCGGCTCACTGTAGCCACCAGTTAGCTTCATTAACCATCTTCTCAGCAAGACAGACAGGAACCGGCTGTGTTGGTTTTTCAAAATAAATCTGAACATTTCATGATATTTACATTTAAAATTATGATTAAAATAAGTGTGCAAATACACAGTATGCTAATATACGCTTTGTGTTGTTTTAACATACACTATATTGCCAAAAGTATTTGCTCACCCATCCAAATTATTGGAATCAGGTGTTCCAATCACTTCCATGGCCACAGGTGTATAAATTCAAGCACCTAGGCATGCAGACTGTTTTTACAAACATTTGTGAAAGAATGGGTCGCTCTCAGGAGCTCAGTGAATTCCAGCGTGGAACTGTGATAGGATGCCACCTGTGCAACAAATCCAGTCGTGAAATTTCCTCGCTCCTAAATATTCCACAGTCAACTGTCAGCTGTATTATAAGAAAATGGAAGTGTTTGGGAACGACAGCAACTCAGCCACGAAGTGGTAGGCCACGTAAACTGACGGAGCGGGGTCAGCGGATGCTGACGCGCATAGTGCGAAGAGGTCGCCAACTTTCTGCAGAGTCAATCACTACAGACCTCCAAACTTCATGTGGCCTTCAGATTAGCTCAAGAACAGTGCGCAGAGAGCTTCATGGAATGGGTTTCCATGGTCGAGCAGCTGCATCCAAGCCATACATCACCAAGTGCAATGCAAAGCGTCGGATGCGGTGGTGTAAAGCACGCCGCCACTGGACTCTAGAGCAGTGGAGACGCGTTCTCTGGAGTGACGAATCGCGCTTCTCCATCTGGCAATCTGATGGACGGGTCTGGGTTTGGCGGTTGCCAGGAGAACGGTACTTGTCTGACTGCATTGTGCCAAGTGTAAAGTTTGGTGGAGGGGGGATTATGGTGTGGGGTTGTTTTTCAGGAGCTGGGCTTGGCCCCTTAGTTCCAGTGAAAGGAACTCTGAATGCTTCAGCATACCAAGACATTTTGGACAATTCCATGCTCCCAACTTTGTGGGAACAGTTTGGAGCTGGCCCCTTCCTCTTCCAACATGACTGTGCACCAGTGCACAAAGCAAGGTCCATAAAGACATGGATGACAGAGTCTGGTGTGGATGAACTTGACTGGCCTGCACAGAGTCCTGACCTCAACCCGATAGAACACCTTTGGGATGAATTAGAGCGGAGACTGAGAGCCAGGCCTTCTCGTCCAACATCAGTGTGCGACCTCACAAATGCGCTTCTGGAAGAATGGTCAAAAATTCCCATAAACACACTCCTAAACCTTGTGGACAGCCTTCCCAGAAGAGTTGAAGCTGTTCTAGCTGCAAAGGGTGGACCGACGTCATATTGAACCCTATGGATTAGGAACGGGATGTCACTTAAGCTCATATGTGAGTCAAGGCAGGTGAGCAAATACTTTTGGCAATATAGTGTACTTAAGTGGAAACCCTGCATGATGTTCCAGACTTCCTGTGATTTATTTAATCTAAAACATAAAATGGTACAGAGCAAAAGATAAAGCATTTATGGAAAAGTTTTAATCTAATTCTGAGGTAAGAATGAACTCATCCTGGCTTTCAAACTGTCCAAGCTTTGTTTACGTTCTTGTTCAGGCCCTGTTTTGAAGATCAGAGATAAGATAGTGACCAAGTTCAAAAGCACAGAGATGATTCAATCAGACTTTCTGGGCCACACAGGAAAAAAAAAGGAAGCCAATAATAAATTGTGCCAGAGCTCTCCTGAAAACATCATTTCCATGTGGACATTCTCCAACATGTTTCAGAGAAGAACAGACAGATGAAAGAAGCCTGGAGTTCATTTAAAAGATGCTGTTTTAGCAACAGTTGGGAAAGGAGCTGTGGGGGAACTTGGAGCCAATCCCTAAACCAAGCAGGCTTACCTCCTGCAGACAGAGTGCTAGACACGAACCCGAGAAATCATGTGAGCTGGATTTAACATACCTACGGGAACAACAACATCCAAACTAGAGCAAGTAGAGAAAGCCTGCAGCAGCAAGCCGAGAGAACCTGGTTTAAAATCAGTGAACATTACCTCTTTTAGACTGTGTTTGCCTTTGTCACACATTAATTAACCAGACTGTAACTGACTCTGCCACCCATAATTAACAGAATTTGCAAGTTTCTTATAATAAATGCTGTTTCTGAAGGACTGAGCCAAACTTAACCTAATTTACTGGAAGCAAAAATCTCTGAACCAACACTTCATATTGAGGTCAAGCCACTCAGGATCAGCACCGAGGGGGAGGGTCGCTAAGCATCAATGGGAGGTAGGGACAGATGGTGAGTAACTCAGGAAAGACACGGTGGATGTCAAAAACTGGAAATAAGTTGAGATTTGGGCAAATTAATACACAATAAATGACTGCATATATGCATTGGTTCACAGCTCTCAGAATAAAGGGATAAATGTAGAATAAACATTTTGCAATGCCTGCTTCTAATCAGGGTTTTATTTTATCATATTTTCCAGTCAAGCAGACAGGGAGTGTTTATGATCTGCCTTTTGTTAGAGGTGAACAGATAAAGCTTTTTCCTGGATGACAAACTGCCACTGAACTGTTCCAAAATATTTCACACAATAAATAAGACAAAATGTGGAGCAAAGTATTTCTTGAAAGGTAGAATTTGAGAATGATCCTAATGTATGAATCAAACCATCTTAAAAAGCTGTATTTGGCATAGATCCAAGTAAACTTTCCCCAGCTTCAGGCAGGTGAGCTTTCGCCATACTCTTAGCTTTATGCAATGCAGTATGGAAGCTGTCCTCTGGGTTAGCAGTGTTTTAATGGGTGCATTGTGGTTGAAAATCCCTGCTCCTTTGGAGCGTGGACCAAAACAAATGTCAATGATGACAAAGATATAGTAACAATAAACCCACTAACCCTTAAAGTCGTAGGGAAGTGGCTGTTCCGGCCGTTGCATTTCCGAATTCTCCCGAGTGATGCCCGACTTTACATGAGTGAATAAAGTGAATGTGACTGGTCGATTATCAAGGGGGGAGGATTGTTGTGGCAGAAGGTTTGCAAGCAAGTTTGGTTGTGGCCTGTGTCTCGGAAGCATCTTGCTAACCAGTTAACAACTTAGTGCTAGTAGGTTCCCAATGGGAAATTCCATTGGGACCAAGTAGCACTAAGTTGGCGACTTAGAAACGACACTGTCAAGGAACGCTATGGACAGCGGAAACATGCAAGAGGAGGAGAGTTTTGTGTCGGAGGTCGTGGATGAGTCTCCTCCGTCATACATTTTTTATTTAGAGGAGGAACGCGGGCTGAAGATGTTGTGGAAGAGGACGCCAGGGCGGCAGAAGCTTGGTTTGGTGTAGAAGGCTTCCAGCCGTACATGTTTGAGCCCTTGCCTCGCAACGCTGCCAGTTCTGTTAGCTCTACGCCTGCCGAAGACACAGACGTCCATCCCCGTGAACACTGGGACGCAACTCAATGGGAAAGGAAATTATTCTTATTTCAATCCTTAAGTATATTAGCTGCAACATATGAATCAAGATGCTATGCTACAAAAAAATTTGATATATGATTGGCCGAATTTAGGTGTACAAGCTGACGTATAACTAACTGGTCTGCATAACATAATGAAAATAAAACACGGATTTTAAGACGAGATTCTTTTTTTTTTAATAGAAATTTTCTATCTTTTGGGACAATATGGTCTGATAAACAGTACATTTATATACATGTTTAAGCCAGAATGATTTGACATTTAAATATGATTTCCCTACAACTTTAAAGCACCAAAGAGGAGAAATAGGAGCTCCTGGCTCCAGTGGGCTGCCATCTTGCTTACGTAAGGAGCTACCTTACAGTTTTACTTTTAGAGCAAATCTATTGGAGTTTAGCTTCTGAACAAAACAGCCTGTAATCTGGAGCAGATTATGCCAGAGTAAATACATGCTTTGTATAATTTTGCAATTCCCTCTCCACAAAAATGTAACTCTAATATTTGGTTTTAAACCTAATTGAAGAACCTTGGGTCAAGTTTAACATATATCAATCTAAAAAAAATCTAACTAAACTTACTTTATTTTTCCTTTACTCCTGTAAAGCAGAAAAGAGATAAAACCAAATCTCTTTTCATAACACTGTTAAAACCCTGATAAAGAAGATCCTGCAGGTTAATCTGTTCATCAGAATATGGATCAAAATGATGTTATGTGTTATTATTAATAATTTTATTTATTGGTCAATGTAACAAATAGAAAAAAGACATTTTTAGATTTTCTTTTTTTAGATTTACGTCCAAAGGATATCTGATATTAGACAAGATGAACAAAAGTGAAAAATGGAAAAACTGAATGATATATCTCTGCATTTTTCCTTTTTTTCCTCATTATTTTCATTGATTTCTCCAGCTTAGAGCTAAAGTCTGCATCACAGGAAGAACCGACAGCTGTTGACATCAACTTTGATTACACAGTTCTCCTGTTTTTAATCCTACAATTTATTTTTGTGAGAAAGAAAGTGAAGGAAGTGAGCATCCTAAGTCGCCCCATTCACTACGATGACACATAGCTCACCTTTGCAGTATGACGTTAATCCAAACTCCGTTGTAATCCACGTTTTATAAATGATAAAACTAAATCCAACTCGTTGGAGCAGCCTTCGCAGATATCCAGAGCTATTCGGGAAACCCGAAGTCCGTTCGGAAAATAGGGATTAAGGCTGTAGAAGAGTCCTTTAAAAGGGGAAAATTTCCTTAAGGCCTCTCACTGTAAGCAGGGGGGGGCAGTATTCCAACTTTGGCCGGCTAACTCCGTGTTAGCATGCTAGTTTTCTGAGGGAGCTGGTGTTTCGATGATTGCATTCCTGGATTTGGAAGTAAAGTGTCGATCTTTGCATCTCAAAAACAAAAACAAATAATAGAATAAAAACTTGTTCTTATCAAAAGTAGCATTCCGTTCCTGACAGATCCACCGTCATCCAGTCAGGTGACGTGGAAACTGTTGCTGAGAGGCTAGCTAATTTGAAACAGAAATCTTTGGCTTGGAGTGGATTTAAAGTCGACAGCTACTAGCCTGCTAGGTAGCTAACGCTCACTTCTTTTAATTTAGGAACAAATACCTAAAGCTATCTGTTTTATAAAAATACACAGCATGATATCACATATAAAAATTATCTCGAAGTTTTAAAAATTGTAAAATTCTAAAAACAGGTATCCAAAGCTGCCGAAATGAGGGAAGTATCCAGCAGCGTTAGCAGAGCGGCTAACGTTAGCTTCCCAGTGCGGCGGCGGAGCGGCGCAGCTCCGCTCCCTGTCCGGAACTTCCAGTCAACACCGGCCCGTTAGCGACGTTTTTTTCCACAACCCGAACTTATGTCCACTCCGTTTAATAAGGTTCGGTGTGATAGGTTTCCAATCGAAAAAAAAAAAAATAAAATAAAAGGAGTCCGTGTGTCCGGTGCTGTTGGAGCCGTCGCCACTGCCTGGCAGCTTCGGCAGTCCGGGGCAGCCAATGGTGGCTCTGTGACGGTCTGCGGGAGGAGAGCGCTTCTTCCCCCGCGGTGGGCAGCCTGGAAACGGGAGGAAAAGGAAGAGCAGCACTTTCAGTTCCTGTGGGTATCAGACCGTTCAAGTAGCGACCACAGATCAAACTGAACCAGAGATCCGGGATCATTTTTATTGACCCATGCGTTATTTTCTGTATTGACATTCAGGTAGGCTACATCTGAAATAAAACATAAAAGTTATTAAAAATAAACTGAAATTTGTTATATAGTCAATATATTCACGCGTTTATCTGTAAACATTGATCATTATTAAGGTTTACTATAGACTGGAGTATAATCCAGATTAAATGTGTGAAACAAAGAATAAAGAATGGCTACAAACAGTTATGTGAATTTGGTTTATAATGACACAGAGTTCATTTATGGAAAAAACAAATGTCCTTTTTCATATGTTGTTGTCACTGTGATGTTGGTGAAACAGCACATAATGGCTATTGACCTTTCTGTTAAATTCCTGCTGAATCAGGACATTGTCAGAAAGGTTCATGGTAGGAAAAACTGCAGAAGCAACAGGCACTTAGTATTTATTTGAGTATCAAGGTCCTAGGGTTTGGAGGAAGACTTAAAATATTGAAAATCCAGGTTTCAAATGGTCCAGTAAGCGCTTTCTATTCTGTTTTTAGAGGTGGAGCCAGAAAAGTTTATTATGGGTGGCAGTAACTAGTTAGAAAATGATAGACCCCAGAACCAGCTCAGGGTCAATCTTCACAAGTGGTCACCAACTTAGGGTTAATATACACTAGTGGTCACTAGCTCACGGTCAGTCTACACTAGAGGTCACCAGCTCAGGGTCAGTCTACACCAGTGGTCAATAGCTCAGGGTCAATCTTCACAAGTGGTCACCAACTTAGGGTTAATATACACTAGTGGTCACCAGCTCATGGTCAGTCTACACTAGAGGTCACCAGCTCAGGGTCAGTCTACACCAGTGGTCACTAGCTCAGGGTCAATCTTCACAAGTGGTCACCAACTTAGGGTTAATATACACTAGTGGTCACCAGCTCATGGTAAGTCTACACTAGAGGTCACCAGCTCAGGGTCAGTCTACACCAGTGGTCACTAGCACAGGGTCAATTTACACTAGTTGTCACCAGCTCAGTATCTGTGGCCACCAGAGTACCAAGGTGCCCTCCAGCCTATTCTAAAGATAGCACAACTAACCAATGAGTTAAAACTTCATTTTTTTGCCCATACTTTTTCAGCTACACTTCTATTTATAATTATAAATAAAGATTTGAAAATGACAATATCAACATGAAGCATAAAAAATATGTATATTATACATAAAGATTAGCTGATCATTGACTCTTCCAGTTTATAGGTCAGAATTTGCAAGGCAATATATTTTTTATATAAAATAAATAAATAGAACTTTATTGATCTCACCCATCCCCTTGGGGAGATGTGGGCTGCCATTATGCAGCACCTGGGGGTTAATGTTCTTGCCCAGAGAGCCAGTTTGGCACTGGGATTCGGACTCACAACTTCATGATTCCAAGCCCTATGCCCTAACCAATAGGCTGATGTTCTGTCAGATGAGCTTACCCAGTCAGACCAGCATACCCTTTAGTTTATCCTCGTTTATCCCTTTAGTTTATTTCGATAGTTTTGTACAAAAAATTACCTTTAAACTACCTCAATGGGTGTATATTTCTTGAGTCGTTTACAAAAAAAAACACAATTGAATTACTTACTTCTTGGTGTTTTTTTAAGCGTATGGCGATCTCACATAAAAAATTTTTTGTGCATGACTATAGGGATACACGCCTGTTGAGGTAGTATTTTTCATTCAAAACTAAAAGGATAAATGCAAATCTTTCATCTTGCACATGCGTATTGACTATGGGTATGCTGGGTATTCAAAGTGCTTTATATGAGAAGGAAAAAAGCAAAATACCATAAATTCTAGTGGAATAAAGGATATAAAAAGTAAACAGAAGAAAAATTTGTAATTTAAATAAAATGATCATATATTTAAAAAAGGACCTGTTGTACACTAGGAACCTGTCCAGGTTATAACCTGCCTTTCACCAAAAGACTCCTGGAGATAAGCAGTAGCCCCAGCTTGACCATGACAGCTAAGTAAAAGATAGATGGATGGATTGATTGATATCAAAACAAGATAAAAGATTGATAAAAAATATTAGATAGAAACTGATTAAAAACCAGAAAGAACGGTTTGTCCTTGTATGACTCAGTGACCATGGAGCAGCTCTCAAGTTCAAAAAGGTTGGTAACCCCTCTCCTACACTAATCACATTGTGCCAACAGGAAAATTAATAAAAACAAAATTAACTTAATTTATTTAGAAAACTTTTGTTTTCAAAATAAATCAATGGGAAACACAAGATTTTCACAAAAAAGCAGCTGTTCTGTATTTTTTTTTTTGTTATTCAAGTTTTTTATTTTCCTTTAAACAATCAAACAAGTACGATACAAAGCTTGCATGGCATAGTATACAAAAAGTAACAGCTCACAACACATGGTCAGACAATTAACATAACTATAAAGATAAAAGCAAAAATAGACGGTGTTCCTGGATGATGAAGGGAAAAAGAAAAACAAATAATAATAATTAAAGAATAAATAGGTGAAAGAGATAAAATAAAAAAGGGTCACTACTGAGAAGTCAGGTAGACTTGAAAGAAATACCAATTATTTAACCCCACCTGTCCTTTGCTTCTCAGTCTAGTTAGCATAACCTCATATGATACCGTTTCAGTCATTAACACTTTCCATTCCTGGAATGTGGGGTGTTCAGATGCCTTCCAGTGTCTCAGTATAACTCTTGCAGCTGAGGCTAGCCCAACCATCAACACTGAGTGTACCTCTTTTGTGAGCTGTGGTATTGCTGATTTGTCTCCAAGAAGACATAGACGCGGACACAGTGGGAGGGTCATATCCATCCATGTCCCTAGGAATTTAATTATCTTGTCCCAGAATGGTTGCTGTTCTGTATTTTTAACCACATTCCTAGCTAACGTTTTGCCCAATGCCATCAGACTGCTGAACTGTAAAACTCTAAATCATGTCAAAGACTCTGTATCACACTGATAACAACAAACCAAAATACTGCATATTTGCACCATGCATATTAATGCTGTGAACTTCCGTTTCGATACGTTTTTTTTGCACAATTCCCAAACCATTTACATTTGATCAGTGCTGCACTTAATGAAATGGAAATGTTAATTTCGCACATACCTTTGCCTTCTCCCCATAAAACACAAAAGCTTTTTTTTTTTTTTTTAAAGAGCTGAAATTCTGTTTTTGTCATCTTAAATTGCAGTATGTACCAATTTTTCACGTGAATCATTAATTATTGTATTTGGTTGCAGTTTGATGTTAATATACTTAACAGAGAAAATGGCAAATTAATTATGACATTCCACTACACTATCACTGCTGCCACACTCTGGTTTAGAGGGTACCTGTTTGTTCCAGAGGTTATGATCACTGGCCACAGGGGTGGTAGCTTGGACTGGCCATGGCCACTACCCAGAACTGTCCTTGTGTTTTTTATTAAATCTAAAATAAACGCAAATTCAGTTTTCACCCAGCCAATTAAAGGGCCTAAACCATGCATACACACACAAACACACCCACCCACACACACATGCAAACTCTTCCCCCTATCTTTGCAGGGCCTTTGCATTGACTTCCATAAATTTCTACAACCTAACTGTTACCCATTCATTACTCCATCCAGACTGTGTCTTGCCCAAAACCAATATTTAAAAAAAATTCTAAAAGAATATTAAACGACTAAATCATGATAAAAATGAAAATAACGTTAAAACAAAATGATTATAACAGTTAAAACTATTACCGTAAATGTGGTTTATTTAACATAAGATATCTTTCTTGAAAAAGTCTTTTAGTTAATTACTTGATTTCTGTTCATCGATATGTTGCCTTACAGAAACTTGGGTGCAGCAAAAGCATTATGTGAGCATAAATGAAGCACCTCCTTCTATTCATTTAAATTTTAACATACCCAGAAATTCTGGGCGAGAAAGAGGAGTAGCAAAAATCTTACAATCTGACTTACTGATTATCCCCAAAGGCAGTTGATAATTACAACTCTTTTGAACATTTACCCCTTAGTTTCCCTCATCCAAATTGCAAAGCCAGAAAACCTCTTCTTTTTATAACTTTGTCTTATCTATCAGGTCCTTAATCTGAATTTTTAGATGAGTTGTTGGAGTTCCTATCTGATTTGGTATTGAATACTTACAGGGTCATCATAGAGGGGGATTTTAACGTCCATGGTGACATTGAAGGTAATACCTTAAGAGCAGCATTTAACACTATTGGCTTTGTTCAAAATGTGAACAGTCCCACACATTCTCATCTTCATACTTTGGACCTTGTCCTGACATAGGGCACAGAATGTTAAGAAATAACAGTATTTACTCACAACCCTGTCCTCTCTGGCCACTTAATAATAACCTTCAGGAATCTTTTACAGAGTTCTCCTCCCCCCAAACGAAGGTTTCACTTTAGCGGATCATTAACCGATAGTGCAGTTATAAATTTTAAAGAATCTGTTTCACTTTCTCTCTCTTCTATGTCACTGAGCAGTGCTGCAGAGGGCAACAGTTTAGTTTATTCCCCTCCACAGGTTGATGATTTTGTTGATGGGGTTGCTAGTTCTCTGCGTACTGCCTTAGACAATGCAGCGCCTTTGAAAGAAAAAGTTTAAAAATAGAAAGCTGGCTCCCTGTTTTAATGCAGAGCTGCACACTCTGAAGCAAAATGCTTTGAAACTGGAGAGAAAATGGTGCTCTACATGCCTAAGGCGATCCTACCTAGTCTGGAAAAATAGTTTACTGGGGTATAAGATGACCCTTCGTAAAGCAAGAGCAACATGTTTCTGCTCATTGATAGAGGAGAATAAGATATTGATATCTTTTTAATACAGTTGCCAAACTCACAAGGCAGCCCCAGCCGGTCTGGCAGAAGGCAAGGCAAGGCAAGGCAAGGCAAATTTATTTGTAAAGGACAATTCAGTAAAAAGACAATGCAAAGTGCTTTACATGATTAAAATACAGGAAAATAAAACAGAATCAAAGCAGGTAGGAAAAAAAAATAAAATAAAATAAAAAATGCAGAAACAAAAAAAAGAGTTTTAAAGTTACTTACTTTTTGACCTCCATGCTGAACCTGGTTCTGCAAGAGATTTCTTCCCATTGGGGAGTTTTTCCTCTTCACTGTTGCTTCATGCCTGCTCATCATAGAGGTTCCTACGAACCCGTGCCTTATTCCAGCTGGCATCCATCTTCATTCCATCCCCGTTCCACCAGCAGTTGCAGGCTTGGGGGAATCCTTCCCTGTTCTTATTTGTAAATCAGCAAATTCCCACTGAATGCGCACTTTCATCTGGTTTGGTCTGCCACGGTTTCCGTAGCGTCGTGAACTCGCAGGCGCGCGCTTTCAGGAAATCTTATACACTACTGTTTATGCTCTAAAAACATTCTAAATGACTTCGTTTCGAGTAAATTCTGGATGCTACCCATTCAGGACACTTGGAATACATTGGACGAGCAGTATGGAGGAATATTGACACGTTTTTTGTGGACTTTTATGGACCTTTCTGCCTCGGGCGCCATAGACCTCCATTATTTGAATGTCAGCAGACAGCAAGAAGCCTCCCAGATCTCCAGATGCATTTGAGATATCAAAAAAGTACTCCAGAGTGTTGTTCAGCATGGGGTTGAGTAGAAAATGAAGGCTAATCATGTCTTGGGTGTACTATTCCTTTAATAGTCATTAGGGGGTTCTGATTGGCCTTGGTTTCGGTCACATGGCTCATTGAAGTGTAGGTCAAGAGAGGGCAGGTGAGAGGTGAATCTTCTGGGAATTATTTTTTTGTTGTTGTTGAAAAGATGAAAACTTGATCTGCTGTAAAATCTTAATAGGACTCCATCTTGTGGCCACATCGTTTTTATATTTATATCAGAGTTCTCATGTCTGAAATTATGTTTGGCTGTATTTTAAAATTGTGCATGCATAAATTAAACTGGCATCTTTTCTTATTAATGCATGTCTGTACTCCAAACCTTTAAATAAATACCTTGCTTGATTTGCTCAGAAAAAATATATTGTTAGGATAATTATCATTGAAGATATGTGAGTTTATCACACCCTGGTATGGGCTGCCTGTTGCGCATCAGAACTGACATTTTAAGCTAATTAGGACAGCTCCTCTGTCTGGATATACAGTTATCTCAATTTTGTATGTGGCAAAGATTTGGGAAAGGAATGAGAGCGGTGTCCTATTTTGATAAGGCTGGAGCCATGGATGTCTAAAGTAAGAAACATGTCTAAAGTTTTATAAGATATATAAAAGGCCTTTTTAACTGTTAATCGGGGCAACTTCCTGATAGGTGAGCCCAGAGGTGAGCAGCTGCCTTCTGTAACCGTAAGCAATTTCTCTGATCTGAGTAAGATTACAATTTCTATCGAATCTATTGTCATGTCTCATGGTTATTTAATACATAAAAGTTATTTAAAGAGTTTGTCCCAAGTGATCTCTTTTCAGGGAAAAGAACCGGAGAACTAGAGCATCAGGGTGCAGACACAGAGCTTTACATTTTATCTTTAACAATATATATACACATTCTACTTAATTCTGTGCAGTTTTGTATTAGTTTGCTAAACCCCTTGTTTGTTTATTTTTTTCCTTTGGAGTCAGTAGGGCTTGAACTTCCTAATGTTTGTGTCGGTAATGGAGGATTTAAAGGTTTGAGCATAATTCCCAACATCGTGATGCTCTGGGCTACCATGAAACAGAAAATGGGCTGATATTTGGATAAAATTAAGCTGCTGACATATGATTGCATCATAATTTTTCACAGCACCTGTGATGTGAGCTTGTAAATGACTTTGCAGAAGGAAAATGAAAACAAAAGACCATTTTTTATAGTGTTTTTATTGAACTCTTAGAAAAAAGTTCACCTTAAAAAAAAAACCCCACTGAGACAGCCTGGAAAAGATAAAACTAGTCAACTGAATCGTCTTTCAGTATATGATGAAGAATATAATATAAGATTAAAAGTTGGAAAAATACTGATTATATATAAACAGAGACATTACCAGAGCCATACTGCTGAATTCCTATAGTAGTGTCAGATAAGAAAGATTCACATCGCAGAAACAGATATTTTGTTGTCTTTTAGAGTTGATTATATTTTAATCAATTTCTATCAAAACCTGAATTTATTCACAAACACCCAGAATCCCACATTCCAATAATCCAAGCAGCCTGGTGCAGAAGGTGCAGGTTTAGTTTTCATATGAGGGCAGGGATTGATATTTGACCCTGGAGGTTTTCGTTTTGTAAAGAAGGACTCCGCAGACCATCCCAACCGCAGCAAAAAGGCATCCAACAACAAACACCAGGTTGGGGTTCAGGTTGAGTTCTGCAGAAAAAAAAGGCACATTGATGATGGAGTCCTGCTCCTTCTGATTAATGTCCCCAAATGATTTCCTTACCTGTGCCTCTGCTGGGGTCTGCTGCACGCCTTAGACGCAGGGGACCCTGGGAAACTAAGTGCTTTCCGCTCTGGACCACAGTTTCTCTCTTTCTGCGGCTGGAGAAATGGGACCATGTGGAGTTCATGCATCCCTGAGAGCACCTGGTGTTGGGGTTCCCTGCCTCACACATCATGACTGTGCAGCTGATGTACACCTTCAAAATAGAAGCAGTCATTAAAACAAACACTCCCTCTGGTGGACAAAAGGTAGATCTGCATTTAAACATCTTCAGAGCTCTGCTCCACTTTATCAAAACACTAAGAAAAGTTTTTTCTGTCCAGATATTTTACGGTCAACGTAAGTAAATCTAATCTTTGTCGGACTCTGCTGTCATTCACCACAAATGTGATCTTTTTACAGTTAGAAGCAACTGGACCATCCTAAGTAATAACATGACAAAATGACATTTAATATCTTCTTGCTCCTTATAATTGGATGACTTTACAAAATAAAGACACTTTGTTGTTTAGACATCATGCTCAAAATGAAACATACAGGAATTAAAAACTCTTATAGAAAAAAACTTGAAAGATATGAACATTCTTAGAATCCTTGAAAGCAAAATTGGTGCATTAAAATATATGTTTACCACATTTATGTATGTGATCTTGTTTGTGTGACTGGGAAAACAAATGAAGTCCTGAAATCCATTCATTCAGAAGGGGATGAATGAAGAAAAAAATGTATTCTGCAACATTTAGATTATGTTATTCTGACTGTAGTCAAGGTGCTTTTTTTTTTTATACATTATCTCAGGTTTAAAATTTGGATAATTTGGTTAGAGAGTATGCTAACTAATCTTCCTCACCTGGTCATGCAGGCCAATGAATTTGAAGGCCTCCATGCTGAACTGAAACAGCCTTTCGTTGGAAGTTGGATATGTCTGCACAGTCGAGTCGACGGCACACCTGCACACAGAGAAACAGGAAATTAAAGTCTTATTTGACTGAAAAATTGCATTCAAATGCTTGCTCTGTTGGATATTTCTCATTATTATTTATTTGTTTATTTGTCAGGAACAGTACACATTAATAAATATTTCGGTTAATGTGTCGGCATTAGCTATGAAGCTAGTTTTCAACTGGTTAAATTGTATAATGCCAACAACAATAATAAAACAAACACAGAAAAATGTAAAAGGTTGAAGCTACAAGTGCAGATCATACAGTTCAAACAGAGACATTATCATACATATGTAGAGATGTTTAAAAATAACATGTCATTTGGCTGAGTCATGCACCAGGAGATTGGTAAGATCTAATGAGCCCATTGTTGATTTGATTTTTACCAGTTTTTTAAAAACAAATCCTAAATGTGTAAAAATGGAGGATTCTCTGATAGCTGTGCTGCTGCCATCAACACCCTTGTTTATAGATGCTGGAGATCAGCCTGTTTTCCAGTGTAGTCCTGTTTCTCTGACTGTGACTAACTGGATGTGCTCTCTTCATCCTCTGGCATGGGAGCTGGCTCGAAGCTCGTCTGTCTGGCTGTGTGTTTCCTGGAAGGGGCCGCCTTTTACTGCTGCTTTTTGTGTCTCTGTTTCTGTCTCCTTGAACCCCAATCGGCCTCAGCAGATGGCCGCTCACACTGAGCCTGGTTCTGCTGGAGGTTTCTTCCTGTTAAAAGGGAGTTTTTCCTCTCCACTGTCGCTACAAGCATGCTTAGTGTGAGGGATTGTATTTGAGTCAATGAGTCGATGCAATCAACTGGTTTTCCTTAGATAGAAAACTTTGAATCAATTTGACTGGATAATCTGGTTGAACTGGAAAGTGCCTTGAGATGACATGTGTTGTGAATTTGGCGCTATAGAAATAAACTGAATTGAATTGAATTAAGAGGGATGCTGTTCCAGATGCAACAGCCGCTGATTGAAAGAACAATCTGGCCATAGGTGGTCTGTCTAAAGGGCACATCGGTCTCCTCTTACCGTAGACCGAGTTGCTTTGCCAGAAGAGGATTTCAGTTTTATGAATTCCCTTAATGGCGGTGGAGCAAGTCCATTCAGTACTTTATAAACCATGCAAGAAAATTAAAGGTATATAAAGTACTCAAAGTTGTGGAGATTGTAAGTCTCAAGAATACAACAGTGTTGGTAAGAAACAGGTTTTTGGCCACTGGTTCCGAGAGGTCAACATCGACAATCTTCTATCTTAGAAAGAAATTGCTTCAGTTTATTGGAAGATAGAAAAAATATTAATCTTTACATTTTTTGTTACATCTTGGCAAATATCAAAGTGCAATTCCTAGCTGTAGGAGACATAAATGGTTATGCGGTGTATGGTGTGTCTCGGAGGTGGAGACTCAAAGGGAGGTGGGTGTGCACCAAGGAAGTATGTGTAAAAGTGCGCACTCATCTGTCTCACTGATGAGAAGAGTAAGGGTGAGGCTGCTGTAATTTTGTTTGACCGTTTCCTTTCACTACGTTTCTTATTATTTTGTTTCAGTATTTATTTGTTTCCTATTTTAATTAAGGGATCTCACTTTGTTTCTATAATCATCCCTGCTGCGCTGTCATAAGTCATGCTGGTGCTAATAAACAAAACAAAGCATCCTGGATTCCAGCGTATCTGTAACAATATAAACATTTAAGCCCGTCACCAATAGGGCGAGAAAGGAGGACCCGAGCCGAACTCTCAGCGGTCAAAAGGATTTGTTTGGAAGCCGCAATACTAGCAGATGTTATTAAGTTAATCCAGCAACACCATCATGAATCCTTTAACCAGGTGAGAATCTGAGGACCTTTTGAAGCCACGCCTTACCCGTTCTCAATGATGGAGTAGGTCGGACGGTAGTTGGGGTTGTCATACGGTGCAGCTCTGCAGGACTCCACAAACATCTCAGTGTTGTTGACAGAGGAGCTGGCATCCAGCTGCATGTAGATCCTGTTTCCAATGTCAAACTCCAGCGGGTAGGAGTTTGGGTCAAACATGGCTTCAAACTGGTCATCCTGGTAGAACTCAAACTGGTAGGTGAACGTCCCGAAACCTTTCTCCCAAACCGTGACGTTTTTTCTGTGTGCTGAAAAATTCAGGGTCACATTTCCCCGCTTGGGATACTGGCAGTAGAACCGGGCCTCCACCAGATGCTTCCGGGTGATGATCTCGTTTGGGTCGTCTTCCACTGTTGTGATCTCGTTCTTGAAAATCAGGTAATCGTCGTCTTCCTGCAGGGTAAACGCTGAAGAGTTAAACACCAGAAAGATTGAGCATGTGTGACGTATTGAATGACCCATTCTCACCTCGATCTGAGTGCCGCATTCGTTGAGAGGGATGATGGCGACTATGTGGGTGCTGTTGGACAGCCTGTCAAGGCTGCAGATGGTGTTGCTGGGGTCATTGAGCTGAAGATGATCCTCCTCGAGTCCGAAGAAAGATGCTTTCTTAACCTCCACCTTCATTGTGGATTCAGTGCAGGTCACTGTGGCTTCAACTGGAACAAGATCAGACATATTTAATAGAAAGAAAAGAAATCATAGACAAACTGAGAGAAGAGAAAGATTTATCTCCTGCTTATATTTGAATTTTAAAATGAAGCTTGACTGCTCTAATTGGGGATAAAAATATAGGTGAAGGATAGAGAGGTTTTCTTTGCATGTTTTCAGATATCAACATGGAAGGTTTCTTCCATAAAGCATGTAGCTCAAACTCACTTTGTTTTTTTCTTATTTCCACTAGAACACACCTCATCTCCGACTGATAGACGGAAGACCTGAAATAGTTAAATGAAACAGTTTTTTTGATTTAGTGCAAAAAGGTCGTATGCAGCAAGAAAAACAAAGGAACAGAAAACACGCGGAACAGTAAAGTGATGAGAACATTTGTGGGGATAAAATAAAATTCCCAAAGTTAGATTTTGCAATAAGGTTGCTGTTTGATTGCCATTCATAGCTAAGCTTTATAATAATGCAAAAGCTCAGTCATGCTTTGCCTTCCTCCTTTTGTCGGTCTGCACAGAGTCCTCACACCTGATAAAAAAACACTAGTTATTTACCGTTTACATTAAATGAATAAGGCTGGGTCTCACCCGCTCACTGACTCCACTGCAAAGCAGACTGGGTAATGTTCTCCCAGATCATCTGGAACTGGTGTCCATCTGATCACGAACTCGTTATTAGTGTCCTTGTGCTTGGTGATGTTTGTGGGTCCGCTGATAACAATACTTTGGATTCTGGATAGAAAAAAACAGGAATTATCATCATTTACTTGATGTTTTCTCATTTCCTCGCAGCCATCAGATGTCTCTCCCAACTTACGAAGAATGAGTGGCCTGGGCTTTGACTCTGATTTCCACCTCTTTGTTAACCTCTGCTAGGATGCGTTCTCCTTCTGCAGGTGTTGGAGCCACAAGTTGAGGCAGGTACTGCCCCTCCTGACACGACGGAACAACTGGGTCCACTGGAGAATTAGATTAGGAATAAATAATAGAATCACATATATTGAACATTGAATTTTTACATCTCACATTAAGCTAATACTGGGTTCAAAACTTACAAAATGTTGCTTTGAATTGCTTTTAAGTAGCAGGTGTTTTAGTTATTGCCTTAATAATAAAAAGACCTGAAAAAACCTGATGAAACATTCCTTACCAAGAAAAGCGAACTGCAGCGGTAACTTGCTGAGGGGAGAGCCATTCCTGTTTTGTGCAAATGAAGTCGTCCCAGGTGAGGGGGGGTTTCCAGCGGTGGTGTTATATGATGGTTCTGCCCCGCCCCAGCTAGTTGGTGAGACTGTGGCTGCAGGTAGAGTCCCTGCATATACACCAGCTGTGTAGCCTTCTGTCTTTCCCCTTGACAGCAGCGCAGATTTGGACGTTTTCGAACCATCAGAGTAGGAGAGATCAATCCTGTTCCGTGCAAAGTCTTCCACCACCATCTCAAACGCAAATATGCTGCTATCTGCACTGGTGGACTGGTAGCGCAATGTGCACGAGTCCTGACAAACACAAATCTTAGTCGTTAGGTCGAGGTAATTACCGGCCTTTTAATGAAGCACTGACATAAATCAATCAACCAACCGAATCTAGGCTGAATCCTGAAGGCAGGGAGCAAACGTCGCACTCTATTCCTTGGAGATTCCCATACCTGCACATGACTTCGTCACCATCTGCATCGAAGACGGCCATCTTGTAAGTTCTTGGGCAGTTCTGTGGAACTCTTCATTGGAAACAGATGCAACTTGTTAAAACGTTCTGTCAGTAATCACTCTTTCACATTCAATCAGGTAAATAGGGTCTTGAATGAGTAAAACAATAAATAAACCTAAAAAGTGAAATAGTGTAAAGATGTTTACCTAATGAAGGGCAGGACAGCAATATCAGGAGATCTGTTCGGTTCTCCTGTGTCTGATCTTGTTCCCAAATCTACCAGAGACTCTAACCTCCAGTCGCTTACTGAGTTACGTGTTGTGATCCAGCAGCAGCTGGCCACCCTGATGGTCAGGGAAGGGAAGAAAACACTCATTTCCACACAGCCACTAAAACACTGAGAGTTTCTTTATTGGTTTGCCTCCTGTTCTTTAAACTCCTCCAACCGAGGCGGTGACCCATTTGCTCTACATCAAAGCATTAAATATTTCTGCTGTTTAAAACATGTTGATCGTCTAAAGGAGTGGCTGACTGCATTTGATGCAGGCGGTTCGAAAGGCCCCAAATGACAAGCTGTTGACTCCCTCATCAAACTCTGAGAAGCTGACTGAACTGATAGACGTTAGAGAAAGGAGCTCGGCTCACCTGAGCTGAAATGGTTTGTCACTGGGAACTCTCCACGTTTCAACATTTTCTGTCTCACACCACTGGCTTTCATAGGATGGCGTGTTGGTGCTAAGGTCGATTGTAGTAATTTTTCTGCTGGTTACACTGCCACAGTTGCCAGTATAACAGCTCCAGGAATGGTAATTACTACAGCTATCGTAAGTGTCTTTACCGCGGAGCACCATCTGCAGAGAAACAAAACAAAATAACATTTATTTCAATTTAATGCAAAATACTTTATTGATTCCAAATAAGGTGAAATAATTTGCTTTATATGTTTTATTTTACATATATATATATATATATATATATATATATATATATATATATATATATATATATATATATATATATATATATATATATATATATATATATATATATATATATATATATATATATATATATATATACAGTTTAGAGCAGTTTAAAAACACTCTGGTAAAAGTTGAAGTATCAACTTGACCTCTTTACTCAAGTAAAAGTGAAAAAGTACGTGCTCCAAAAACTACTTAAAGTATAAAAGTATAAAGTAACCTTTAAAAAAACAGCCAGATGCCACTATATGAATTGAAAACTCAATTTTTCAAATATTTTAAAGAAATTCTTTGAGATAGGGCCAAGGATGAGGGAGGTCTTGTTGGTCTCCGTCTCCCGATACGCTCTCGCCTGTGTCCGACCTTTCAGACATTTCAACATCTTTTTCTGAATCCCACATTGTAGCATGGCATAGACAATTCACGTTAGCAGTTTGAATAACACCTGCTTGCTTCTGATGATTTCCTTTAGCTAACCAATGAGTGTTTGCGTTATATGACTCATCCATTTACACCAGTTTTCACTAGATGTAAATGGTGTCAATGATCTGCATTGGATGGCGCACATGACGGAAATAAATATTTATAAACATTAAACCGAAGCCAAGAGTAATGAGTAACGTTTGTTTTAAAAATGGAATAGAAAGTACAGATTCTTGTGTGAAAATGTAATTAGTAGAAGTCAGAAGTAGGAAGAAAAATAAGTATTGGAGCAAAGTATAGATACCTAAAAAGTGTACTTAAGAAAGTATTTGTACTTTGATACTTGACACCTCTGAAACCTATGGATATATTTGGCGAGGTTCAATAATATAAAAGGATTCAGTGTTTCTATAAAAAGAACCAAAATCACACATATGATGTGAATCATTATAAATGTACTTAAATAAAAGTTCTTTTCACCTTGAAAGACCCATCAGGGTTCCTTCCTTTGTAGGCATAGTTCATGGTTCCTCCCCAGTGATGTGACGCTGAGACCAGGGAGGCGAGCAGCTGCAGCTGCAGCAGAAGCAGGACTGTAGAGGCTGACATGATGCTCTTCGGTGATGTTGCTCACCTCCACCTGCTGCATCTTATGTACACCTGTCTGAACTAGGAGGGACGCGTGTCACTCTGATTGATGGGATGCACACCCACTGCAAGACAAGCAGTGCTTGAGATCTGCACAAAGGAAAGGAGATTAGAATAGTTTTCCATTAATGGTGTTTAAACTTTAGCAGAGACAACAGTATCAGTAAAGGTAAAAAAAAAACAACAACATAGTGTTCTGTTAACATACTAGATTACACAAGACAGAAATACATATTTAGTCTTTAAAAATTACAGTTTGTCTTACGTGGCACAAAGAATACCTACAGCGTTTATTTACCAATTAAATACAGATTAAAATATATTCTAATATAGAGAGGTAGACATAGATAGATAAATATAGATAGAGCAGTGCATTAAGAGACAACACTGACCTGGTATCTTTGAAAGTTGTTGAAAAAAAAATAAATTTAAAATAAAGAAGGAATTGCAGTGGTAGAAAATCTTGACTTGAATAAATCTTGCAAATAGAAATACAGCTTTTTAATATGTTATAAATAATAAGAATATGTAAACAGAGTAACAAAAAAAAGATACATTATATGATACAAATTATCTGATCTAGTTTTACGTCAAACAAAACAACTTCAAAGAACATCAACAAGTTCCCAACGTCTTTCAGAGAGACGTGGGAAACTTAGTTATAAAAGATAGAGATGGTTTCATTAAACTAGTATAAAGAATAAGAAATCAATGTTCAGCAAGCTAATGGCTGACCCTCTTTATTAAACTAATATATTTATTTTTTCTAAAGAGCCACTTATAATCGTCTTAAGCGCTTCTCAGCAATGACTCAAAGAAAGGATGTTGTTGATACTTGCTGTACCACTATGCCATCATTTCAGAGCTTTTTCTAAAATGCCAAAATACTTTTACCAATGAATCCGATGAAGCAAGGCTGAACTAAATAATGGTCAAATGACAAGAAAACATTTTATACACTTTTTATCCATTTTGATAAACATGTAAAAATAATATAGATCTATAGTATTGAAATGATATTACACATCCCACATTACACAAACTTATTAGACATCTACTGTAATGCCGTTTCTCTGAAAACTGGCAGTATGCCAGAAGCTGGAAGAATTCCTTTGGTTTTCTATCATAAAAAGTATAAGATTACTAATTATTTCTGCCACTTAAATTGACCTAATTATTGATATGAATGGATTTAACATATTATGACTAGTTTGATTTGCTTTAACCCAGCCTTTACATTTCATGACCTGGATTTCTTCCCTTTATTTAACAGTAACAAATTGCATTATTTAAAAAAAGGCAGAGGTCTTTTTCTCTCTTTTTCACCAACATCAAACACAGCAGGCTGAGTTAAGCACCAGCACTTCTATAAACATTCCATCTGAACACAAACGGGCCTTTTTGTGGCAGAGAAGTCAATCAGCTGCAAGTTTATTTATTGCTCAGAGCTCCAAATCATTCCAGATAGGAAGTGCAAACAAAGTAATCTACTTTAAATTTGTCAAACACTTTCATAAAATGATCCCATTTATTTCCGTCTAAGTTCTTTTGATTCAGAAAAACAAACTGTTCTGCTTTAGACTGTCTGCACCTTAACACAACAAGGCAGATGCAAACATCATGACTGATGGCATCAATTAAGGTGAAAGTCAACGGTGAGGCCTGAGGGAGATCAAAGGGTCACCCTGCAGCCAGTTTCTGAATGGTATCTTTTCTTCATCACACTAGACTCTAGTGACTAGAGGAACGTTGAGCCTCTGTTCTTTCCAGTGTTGCTTCAGTTCTTCGAGGCCTGCAGCCTCTGCACTTTTCTAAGGTCCCACCGCTCAGCAGGAGAGGTCACCTCCATTACCTCAGGGCTGTGTGCTTGATCCTTCAATGAAATATTTCAGTGATTAGCTGAGCTCTTTGTTGGTTATTTAACCATTTGATTAGAGTGTGTTAAAAGCTACAAGACACAGGCCCTAGTAGCTCACCACTCCACTGTTGTATTTCATTTATACGAAGGTCTTAAAGGTTTGCTGCTGCCTTTGGGATCTTTGTTTAAGCTGACATTTAAGCTGCAGATCAAAAGGTTTTGGTAAATAGAGAAAACCAAAAACAGCTAATTATCTCAAACATCTGTGTTAAATATGGAAGTTATGTCCCCCTGAAGGGGGTTCTTTTCCTGGGAGCAAGTTGTTTACTACTCTTTACTCAAACTGGGTAAAACCACATAAAAAAGGACTATAAAAACAGGAGTAAAAAAGAGTTTATTCAAGATCAGGTCGTTACAGGACAGAGAAAATCCTTGGAGCTTGCACAGCAGTGGGCTCAAAAACACTTCAGCGAGCGTCCGGCAAAGATTGAGCCAAGATTGAGCCCCGAACAAGGTCATCTCCTCCTTCTTATACCTCATGAGTCCATATTTTGCATCAGGTGGATGCTTAGCTGTCCGTATCAGAAACTGACACGCCATCCATGCCTTGACCTTTATGCATCTTTACTCTATGCCCAAGGATTACAGATAGCTTTCCTTTATCTGTCCGGCTCCAAGTGAATATGAAAAGGAAAGCTGCTGACCAACTTATCTCACTAATAATAGAGAACAGGTAGTGGTATTAACACAGTGAGCTAATTAATTATACACATCTAAATAATGGACTGATGTCACTCTGAGCTCGGGAAGCCAAAAAAAATAAAAATAAAAAATCAATATTTTATTTATATATATTGCACTTGGAATCCAGAGGTTCTGAGATCAAGCCCCACTCCCAAGGACTGCTACTCTGGGTCCCTAAGAAGACCCTTAACCCCACACTGCTCCTTGGGCACCGCACAGTGGCAGAACACTGAATTTCTCCAGTGTGAGATCAATAAAGTTCAATTATTATCATTCAATTATTATTATAACTCTAAGAAGGTCCAAACAGAGTTGAACGCGTGCATAACAAGTATGAAAATCCATTATCAGTGGAGCTGATAATGGACGAGTCACCATGACAACAGGCAACAGGAAGTGCCTATTTCACCCCACTGGAACTAGAGGTTTTAATGGAGAAATAAAACAATAAAAGGAGAATGTGTTTAAAACACAAAGAAACAGCACTACAGCTGCAAAGGAGTGGAGGATCGGGAAGGAGAAGATTGCTGCTCGAGTTGTTGCTAAATTCTGAGTGGTTCTACTTGGATTTGAGGGGGTTTAGTCAACAGTGAAAAAATATATTCATTATCTTTTTCAGTGTGGTGATTGTTCCTTGTAAATGTTTATATATTTATTTGATGATCTAAAATACTATTGAATAGCTTTTCTTTTATTCTATCATACTTTTTTTGCACGATTTGCTTAACTAAGTATTTTTGTTGTTGCTGAATTTAAGATATTTTCTACATATATTTTTTATACGTACATTGTTTAGATTTACTTATATCTTTCCACCCCTTTTATATCATTATATTTGCTTTTATTTGTTCATGCGCCCAGTGGTTGTAACCTTTATTCCACTCTGTATTCTCATGAGTTTAGTCTTTGTTCATTTGACAAAAAAAAAAAAAAAAACAGAGTTCTGTTAGCTCTACGCCTGCCGAAGACACAGACGTCCATCCACGTGAACACTGGGATGGAACTCAATGGGAAAGGAAATTATTCTTATTTCTTATTTCAACCACGGCGTATATTAGCTGCGACATATGAATCAAGATGCTATGACTGAGAAAAATTTGATTGACAGATGATCGTTTATATATGATTGGCCGAATTTAGGTGTACGAGCTTACGTATAACTAACTGGCCTGCATAAGATAACAACACCCCACCCCTTAGATTTTAAGACAGGATTTTTTTAAAATAGAAAACCCTAAATTTGGGGACAATATAGTTTGATAAAGAGTACATTTATATACATGTTTAAACCAGAATGGTTAGACATTTAAATATGACTTCCCTGCGACTTTAAATAAGAGGCTGCATGTGCCTTTTCCTCCTTTTGGCATCTTGTTATGGAATATTGGGCCAAGGTGACAAGTAAATTCATCCACTGTGGGATCAATCAATCAATCAATCAATCAATCAATCAATCAATCAATCAATCAATCAATCAATCAATCAATCAATCAATCAATCAATCAATCAATCAAACAATCAATTATTTAAAATAATACTTTAATTTGTTCAAAAGTGAACAGGAATAATGTAACCACCACAATAAATAGATTTGAAAAAAGAAAGTTTTGATAGAAAAGAGAGAAGTCATGAACTTTAAATTGTTTCTTACTTATAATAAAATTGAATTCAATTTAAATTTTGTTTATTTATAGACTTTTATTCAGTTTATTTATAGATATTTATTTTAGAACCACTTCCCAGCATCTTAAGGCACTTTAAATAGACAATTAAATCAGATCACCCATTCAGAGTGGTTCAAAGCAACTATCTAAGGAAAAACAGGTGATTGCATCAAGTCATTGACTTGCAGGACATGACCCTTGGTATTAGCTTGGAGTGACATGCTCCCTTATTCCGTTAACTCTTTAGTAATCCCTCACACTGAGCATGCACAGCCATAGTGGAGAGGAAAAAATAATTTTTATCAGAATTTTGGATTGTTTAGTTCTGCTGTCTGTGTGGCTCTTTCTAGGTTTCACTAGAGGGCGCCCTAAGACCTCTGTTGTCTTGGCTGCTTCTCTACACCTGTGTGATTGCACATAGATGTACTAGATTATCTTATCACTAGTGAATATAAGAGAGGCAGTTCACCAGTCACTCAGTGTCCGTGTGCTAAACTACAATGATCACATCAAGCCCAGATCTGAGCCATTTGTTCCTGAGTATTTGTCCTCCTTGTGTCTAACTGACCTTTTTTTGCCTATGATCACCAAAGGATTTCTCCATGAAAATAGACAAACCATCCATCTCTCTTGAATGGTTTCTCTTTCCGTAGCTGGTAACTGCTCTTCCATGTTCCTCCTTGTTGATTTATCTCCACATCTTTAGAACCTCAGTCAGCTTAAGGCTTCACCAACTTCAGCTCCAGGTCCCCATCAAGGATTCACAAAGTCTCTTTGCCACACAACCACCCATAACCTTTGACACATTAACAAACTTTATTGATACCGTGTCACTTAACACTGACACCTGCAGGACATTTAAAACCCCTACAGAGAGTCTATTTGACTGAGACTGATTTACTGACTTAGTGTATACACAATATTATACTTAAAATCATTGTATGTCATTGTAATATTTCATATCCTCATTTAAATTTATGTTGGAAACATTTGTCATTATCTTTGAATTTTTTTAATGCAATCAATAAATAATGTGAATAATTTACATTAAATAATGTAAATTTTATTTAAGAGGTGAATGAGAATATTTGTGTACTTAGATTTTTTTGCAATGTTTTGCAATTAAGTTTTTTTGCGTTTTGTTGACAAAACTTCTCCAGCTATGGAACACACATGCTTGCATTGCACAACTGCAACTACTGGAACTGCACAGAAAGTTCCAGTAATGTTGGAAGAGGTGTGGGAACATGCTCTTGTTTTTGTTGATATTGGCTTCTGCAAGGTATTTGTGCACCTCGTGAATGGCATCACCTGTGCTGTTCACTTCGATGTCCAGATGTTACCAAAGTTATCTAAAAAAATAACAATTTAGCATTTTAGAACATGATTTCCAAAAAACAAACCAAAACTGCAAAAGAGCAGGTCTGAAGTGGATGCAAACAGCTGTTGTGAAGATGGTCCTGGCTGGTGCTGATTTGTGCGTCTGATTAAAAACGCACATTCTGACATCAGTCTACTGACGGCCTCATTGCACTTGGAGGAACTGCGGAACCAAAGTTTTTTAAATATGGGGATTGGACGTGTTGTTGGGGTCAAAACACTTAATGACTCCAGATTGGAAGCAGCGTCTGTGACTCAATGCTTCAGATGTTTATGTAGGTTTATGGCTGCATGTGTGTGCAAAGTTGAAGCGTTACTCTCTACTGGAAGATAGAGTATTTCTTTGACCCTGACACTAGCTTCTCTTCAGACAACTCCACTGTAGCTTGATGGAAAGGAGCAAGCACAAGAATTTTTTCTCCTATGATTTCATGCTCATCAGCTGTCAAATCAGATTTTAGAGAGGCCAGATACCCAAACCGGCAACTCACAGATAAGTTAGAGGGTTGGTCGTCCCATCTGTTGCTGCCCTTGAGCAAGCTTCGTCTTGGCTGTAGTGCTTGATCTAAAGAAGGTGACAGTCTCCTTGGCTTTGTATTTGATGGATGTTAGGGTGGAGATCTGATCACATAATTTTCTGACTAATAAATTACGTCTTTGCGCAATGCAAATTGAGTTCCTCATTTGGACCCATCTAGTGGATGCAATCATGTTTGGTGCTGCATTGGTCTCAAGACATTTGACTTTATTTGTAAGGTACAGTCCTCCATAATGCCCCTTTGGACATGATCCATACTGTCAGCAATTTGTGGAAAGTATTGAACTCCCAACACAGATGTTCACTACTGCCAATTCTCATTAATGTAGTGATGTAGTAGTCTTACATGTCTTACTTTTCTTACTTATGCTCTCCCTGCTTTTTATCATAGAAGCTTCATCTGTTCTGTTCCAGTTGGCTGTGACACCATCCTGGAGAGAACACCTTTATTTATAAATGTTGAGCTTGGCTTGTTTTTCAGTGTAGTTCTGTTTCTCTGAGTGTGTCTAACCAGATGTGCTCTCTTCATCCTCTGACATGGAGCTGGCCCGGAGCTCGTCTGCCTGGCTGTGTGCTTCCTGGGCGTGGCCGCCTGTGGAGCTGGTTGACAGCTTCTGTCTCCTTAAACCCCAGTCGGCCTCAGCAGATGGCTGTTCACACTGAAACTGGTTCTAGTTCTGGTGGAGTTTTCTTCATGATCAAAGGGAGTTTTCCTTTCCACTGTCGCTACAAGCATGCTTGATGTGAGGGATTGCTTTAGAGTCAATGAGTCGACGCAATATGCTAACTTTGAACTACCTGAATCAAAGTAAAACTCAAGTTATATTATATTATTTGGTCAGAATGTTCATACTACAAATCCAGATCTGATTCTTGGTTCTTTAGCTCAGTTTTGTCAGACCTCTGCTAGGAATCATGGTTTTACTTTCGACAGCTGTTTAAACAAGTTAGCTCTGTTGTTAGATCAAGTTTTTATCACCTGCGGATTTTAGCAAAAATTAAATCCTATTTTTGTTTTAAGGACTTTGAAGGACTTATCCATGCTTTCAATACATCCCGTTTGGATTACTGCAATTCATTATATAGAACCAGGAAGCGTGACCGTATAAGGCCTATACTGGCCTCTTAACATTGGCTGCCTGTCTTTTACCAAATAGATTTTAAGATTCTCTTATTAACTTATAAAGTCTTAAATGGATTAGCTCCTCCTTATCTTAGAAACCTTCTAAAATTCCAGTCTGTGTCAAAAAGTCTAAGCTCTAATGATCAACTATTACTGAAAGTTCCTCGGACTCGACTTAAGAGGAAAGTATATCAGGCCTTCTCTGTTGTTGCTCCAATTCTGTGGAACCATTTACCTCTTCAAATTAAATCCGCCCACAGCCTGAATCATTTTAAATCGCTTCTTAAAACTTATTTTTATTCTTCGGCTTTTAATCGAAGCAGTGTTTCACATTCTGTTTTGTTAATTGATGTTGTTGTCTTTCCTGTAAATCACTTTGGTGCAGTTTTAAACCTGTTTTTAACGTGCTATATAAATAAATTTGACATTGACATTGAACTGATCTCACTGGATGATCTGGTTGAATTGTCTCTGCATTCAGCAACCCAATATTTACGGCTCTACAGGTAATTCTCTAACCTTACAACTGTATCTTTTAAACATATCTTTAGGGATAACATTAAAACTAGTTAAAAATATATATTTCTTTTTTACATATTAGGTATTCATATTAAGCCATTGACATTTTTGTTATTTTGTGGTTTGTTTAATCTCCGTTCATGAAACCAAACTCCGGATTGAAAACTCAGGATTTATATGAAAAAGGTGGATGGCTATGATATTATTCTGATATGACAAAAAAACCCAAAACAGTTTGTTTGCTTTCACTTATTATTTTTAATAAACCATTTAAGTCCAGCTTTAAACACAAAAAGAAATTGAAAAAGGAAAAATAAACCTTCCAAAAATTGGCCCCTATATCAAAAATTTATATAACAGATTAAGATACATTAGTTCAGAAGTGGTTGATTATAACACAATAGAAACAAGCATTTCATCCATCTTTATAGGATAAAATGAAAATAAAACAGGAGAAAACAAATCGTCAAGGCAGAACAATAAACTCAGCAACTTCAGTGCAAAGTTAAGATCTTCTAGTTGTATTTTCAGCTGGTTTTTCTTCTTTAGCATCAACACAACTGGATGTTAAATGTGTGCAGCTGTTTGCATCTTTAAAGGATGTTATAAGACTTCATTAGTTAAAAAACTTCCCACTTTAAAATAACCCGCAGATGCATGTAGTTTAGTTTTCATATGAGGGCAGAGGTTGGTATTTGGCCCTGGAGGTTTTGGTTTTGTAGATGAGGACGCCACAGACCATCCCGACAGCAACAAGAAGGCATCCAGCAACAAACACCAGGTTCAGGTTGAGATTTAGTGCTGCAGACAAGAGTAACAGTTAGTGATGGAGTCCTGCTCACATTAGACCTGCTGCTCATAAACTTCCCTACATGCTTTCCTTACCTGAGCCTCCTCTGGGGTCTGCTTCACGCTTCAGACGCAGAGGACCCTGAGAAACTAAGTGCTTTCCGCTCTGGACTGCAGCCTCTCTCTTAGCGCGGCCAAAATGGTTGAACCCTGTGGAGTTCATGCATCCCTGAGAGCACCTGGTGTTGGGGTTTCCTGCCTCACACATCATGACTGTGCAGCTGATGTACACCTGAATTCAAGAAGACAAAGCCATTATAAACAAAAATTCTTGCTGTTGGAAAAAAAAAAACATTGACTAACATAAAAAGGCCGTAAACCTATACTGGTTTAATATAATGAATTTAATATTAAGGACTTCAGTTAAAATTCTATGCCTAAATATAAATGCAAACTTCATTAGGGAAAAAAGTTTGAATGGTTCTTAGCACAGTTTGTTCCTTACCTGATCGTATAATCCGATAAACTTAAAGGCCTCCATGCTGAACCTGAACACTTTGTCATCGGGTGCGGTGTATGTCTGCACAGTCGGATCAACATTGCACCTGACAGAATCAAATTTAATACAATTCAAATATCATTTATCACACGACAGTAGGAAAATACACATCTTAGTTGTATTTTACGGACTTAAACTTGGTGATAATCTGAGGACCTTTTGAAGCAAAGCCTTACCCGTTGTCAATGATGGAGTATGATGTGTGATAGTTGGGGTTGTCATACGGTGCAGCTCTGCAGGATTCTACAAACATCTCAGTGTTGTTGACAGTGGAGCTGGCATTAAGCTGCATGTAGATCCTTTCTCCGACGTCAAACTCCAGCGGGTATGAATTTGGGCTGAACATGGCTCCGAACTGGTCATTCTGGTAGAACTCAAACTGGTAGGTGAACGTGCCCATACCTTTCTCATACAATGTGATGCTGTCTCTGTGTGCTGAGAAGCTCAGGGTCACATTGCCCCGTTTGGGGTACTGACACTCAAACCGTGCCTCCAACAGATGCTTCCTGGTGATCACTGCAGTGGGAGCGTCATCCACCGTTGTGATCTCATTCTTGAAAATGAGGTAATCATCATCTTCCTGCAGAGTGAATAGTTGTTGTTTAAAAAATAAATCCCGGAGATCAACTTTTTGTGATGTATGAAACAACCTTTTCTCACCTCGATCTGAGTACCGCAGCCATTGAGAGGAACGATGGCGACTATGTGGCTGCTGTTGGATAACCTATTAAGACTGCACATGGTGGGTCCGGGGTCACTGAGACGAAGATGATCCTCTTGAAATCCATAGAAAGAGGCTTTTTCAACCTCAACCTTCATTGTGGTGTCAGTGCAGGTCACTGTGGCTTCAACTGGAACAAGAATTATTAGTTAGGTGCAAAATCTGAGTGTATCTAAAGAAAATCTTTGACAGATCCCTAAAAAATTATGGATGAGAAGAATGTCTGTTTGCTTTGTTTGAATGTAGGTAATGTATTAATGCATTTCTAAGTAAATATTCCCTAATATATCAGTGTAAAAGTAGTACCGTATTTTCACGACTATAAGGCGCACTTAAACGTCTTTTTTTTCCCCTCAAAATGTGCGGTGCGCCCTATGGTGCGGTGCGCCTTATGTGTGTTGTAACTGCGACTTTTGAGACCACCTCATTGAGGAGATGATGAAAGAGTGGCTGAATGTAAGGAGACCAGGTGTTTTTTTTCCACCCCTCACCATCGCTGTTAATATGTAACTCCATGCGTGCCCATCTCACAGCTGATGTGAAAAACATGGGGAAACAAATTAACGCTGCTCGACATCGGTGTGAACCGGACCCAGCAGGTGCAGCAGAAGCAGCGAGTTTACATGCAAAGTCAATGGTTGACGCGCATATAGGTGCAGCAAAAGGTCCCGCAGCGCATTTTGGTGCAGCACGTCGGGAGCGTTTAAGCATCTGAAGCGCCGCGCTTCTGCTGCTCGAGATGGAAAAATTGAAGTTTTGCTGCTGGACGAGCCGCATCAACCAATCAGAGAAGCTGATCTGGGAGCTGCCAGCGAGACAGACAGCGCTCTGATGACATATGATATTAACGCAAATGGAAAAGGCTGGATGGATGCGTGGCTGAGGCAGGTGTATGTGAGAAGACTAGGTGGTTTTTTCCACGCATCACCATCGCTGCGTGCCCATCTCACAGCCGATGTGAAAAAAAGGTGAATCAAATGAACGCTGTGCTCGCCGTTATCCCGGGGGTCTGACAAAGGAGCTTCAACCGCTCGACATCGGTGTGAAGCAGCCGTTCGAAGTAAGGCTGCGAGCGGCGTGGGAGCGATGGATGACCGACGGAGACCACAGTTTCAGGATAAGAAGGCAGCGCCGGGCAGATTACGCCACAGTTTGCGGATGGATTGTAGATGCTTGGACTAACGTGTCTGCTGGCTCTGTTGTTCAAGCTTTCGCAAAAGCCGGCATTATTTCTGAGGAGCCGCGCTGCACGGAAAGTGACTGACAGCGAAGAAGGGGAAACTGGCATGTCTGATTTAGCGCAGCTGTTTTATTCAGAAACAGAGGATGATGACTTTGATGGGTTTGATTAATACTTTGTAATAAATACATGAATAAAGCACAATCATACTCAGTTTTGCTCCCGCTGTATTTTTCTCCCTGAAAACTTAATTCAACAGCATCCCCGGCGCGTCTCCTCCTCTTCATCGCGGTGGCTGGCAGGTGTTTTTTCATCTAAATAATCTAAATCTTGCAGCTATATTTGCTGTGATCAGTGGGAATAAAGTAGTTTTAATATGTTTTTAAGTGAGAAAGTCCACCTGAAAACTTAATAATTGCAGTCAGTTCATCCAGATTATCTATTTCTGTCGGAGGCGCTCAGACCCCCACATACCAGCGGTGCGCCGACAGGAGAAATCCTTTCGTTCACCGCGGCTGCTTGCAGGTGTTTTTCATCTAAATCTAAATCTTGCAGCTATATTTGCTGTGATCAGTGGGAATAAAGTAGTTTTAATATGTTTTTAAGTGAGAAAGTCCACCTGAAAACTTAATAATTGCAGTCAGTTCATCCAGATTATCTATTTCTGTCGGAGGCGCTCAGACCCCCACATACCAGCGGTGCGCTGACAGCAGAAATCTCTTCATCAGCAGCCTGTAGGCTGGGCAGCCTGGGGTTCACCGCGGCGGCTGGCAGGTGTTTTTCATCTAAATAATTTTAGCTGCAGGCACCAGGATACCGGCAATAAAAGCGAACATATTCCGTCAGCAGGTTTCAGGATTTTAAGTTAATTTAGGAGTGACCACAGCGCTGTGTCATCTGCGATGTCTCTGTCTCACGGCCAGCTGCCAGGTTTGATTAATACTTTGTAATAAATACATGAATAAAGCACAGTCATACTCAGTTTTGCCCCCGCTGTATTTTTAAATACGCAGTAGAGGTATTTAAAGGTAGTAGAGGACTTGTACCTGTATATAAAAAACGCGCCCTATAGTCCGGTGCGCCTTATGTGTGTGTTAAATACAGAAATGGGACACATAACTGAGAGTGCGCCTTTTAGTCCGGTGCGCCTTATGGTCGTGAAAATACGGTAATTAAATATCCCCATAGATATTTCCAGTTGTTGTTCTTTCCTTGCCTCATAACTTAGACCTACTTTGATGCTTGCGGATTTCCACCAGAACACACCGCATCTCAGAGTGATATAATCGACCCCTGAAAAAGTATTACAAGAAAATGTTTAAGTTAGTTGATATAAATACAATCCATCTTCTTCTAAATCAAGATTATGTAATAACTATAGAGTGATAAACGTATCCAACACATCCACATACTCTAAAAATGGAGATTGAACAGTAAAATGTAATTTTGGCAGCCTTATACTGCTTATGAGAGAACTGCAAAGTTTTTTATGCTGTAGCTGAGATACAAAAAGCACTTGGAAAACAACTATAAATTAATAATACCCATACTGATTTCTTTTAGATAAATCCTGGTCTCACCCGCCTGCTGCTTCTACGGCAAAGCAGATTGGATAATGTTCTCCCAGGTCATCTACCACTGGTGTCCACCTGATCACAAACTCATTGTTAACGACCCTGTGCTTGGTAACATTTGATGGGCCGCTGAAGATGATGTTCTGGACTCTAGAGGAACAACAAAGCAGAAGTGATTATGTGATCAATGCTGTTTTTTATTGAGCTGGCAGGTATTAGTATGCTTTTCTAACTTACACTGAATATGCAGCCTGGGCTTTGACTCTGATCTCTATCTCTTTGTTGACCTCTGCCATGACACGTTGTCCATCTGCAGGTGTTGGAGCCACAAGTAGAGGCAGGTAGAGTCCCGCCTGACAAGTAGCAACAGGTGGGTCCACTGGAGAACATAAATATAACTGTGTTGTCATAACTTGCGTTGGGATTTATGCATGTGTGGAATATAATTTTCTACTGAATAAAAAATACTTCTTTCCATCAATCAAGTAATCTGGCAACATTTGTCATTATCCACACTTCCTGTCACTAGCTGAAAAGACTAAACTAATAGCCTACATTGATTCAGAGTGTTAAAAAACAATGTTGTCACAATGGGGCCTATTTTTCATGACCCCTCTTAAAAAGGTAAAAAAAAAAAAAAAAAAGAACACGTTTATAAGGAAAGGAAATTGGTCATTTCGTATTTAGTATTTAGCTACACAGTAGAGTAGTGGGTAGCACTGTTGCCTTGCAGCAAGAAGATTCTGGATTCAATTCCCAACCTGGGATCCTCCTGCAATGGAGTTCCCCTTGTGCACCTCAATGCATTTCACACCTTGGTCCTAAACCTAACTCCCATCCCAAGAATAGAACTTCTCTGTGTATGGACCTGTCTGGTCCCCAGAAAAATGTTGCATATCTCTGGCATGTTCTCCTCACATGGTAGAAAAACATGGCCACGCACACACATACCGTCATGGTTGGCGATCCTTCTGGGGAGTTTTTATTGATTTTTTTTTTTTACCTATTTCTACATCCTAACTGTGACCCTTGAGGAGTAGTTGGTCAACATGATGTGCTTTGATTTAGGAAATGGTCCCCACAATATATACTATATATCACACAAATAATTAATAAATTATTTACTATAATCGATTAATATATTCTTACCTAGAAAAGAGAACTGTAGAGGCAGCTTGCTAAGGGGGGTACTGCTCACATTTGTTATGCGGGGTGTCGTGGTAGGTGCAGTTGTTGTCCACCACCAGTTGGTTGTTGTAGCACGGGGTGTAGTTGTTGTTGACCACCACCACCAAGGAGTGGTTGTTGGAGCAGCTGTAGTTGTGGGTGTTGCTGTTGTCCACCACCACCACGAGGTGGTTGTTGGAGCAGCTGTAGTGGTGGGTGAGGCTGTTGTCCACCACCACCATGGATGGGTTGTTGTTTGAGCAGCTGTAGTCGTTGGTGTTGCTGTTGTCCACCACCACCATGGATGGGTGGTTGTTGGAGCAGCTGTAGTCGTTGGTGTTGCTGTTGTCCACCACCACCATGGATGGGTGGTTGTTTGAGCAGCTGTAGTCGTTGGTGTTGTTGTTGTCCACCACCACCATGGATGGGTGGTTGTTTGAGCAGCAGTAGTTGTAGGTGCTGTTGTAGTAGTTGTGGCTGCCGGTGTTCCCCACGGCCACCATGAGCTGATGACTGTAGTAGGGGTTGCAGGTGTTGTCCAAGACCACCATGAGTTGATGGTTGGAGTAGCGGGTGCAGGTGTTGTTGTCCACCACCACCATGGAGTGGTTATTGGAGCAGTGGTTGTAGCTTGTCTCTTTCTCCTTGAAGGCAGTGGATGCTTGCGAACACGCGATCCATCTGAATAGGACAAATCAACTGTCCTACGTGGGAAATCTTCCACCACCATCTCCATACCGAATATTCTAGAGTCTGAAGAGGTGTACTGGTACCGTAATGTGCAAGAATCCTTTTGAAGCAAAGATTGACTTATTAGACAATGCCTCCTATCATGGATTCTATTTAATATTAGTATATTATACATTTTTATTAACTGACCTGATCGAGCTGGAAGCCTGAAGGGAGATGGCAATTGTCACACTCGTAATTGTGTAAATTCCCATACCTGCAGCGGACCCTGTCACCATCAGGGTCAAAGGCTGCCAGCTTGTATGTTCTGGGGCAGTTCTGAGGGACTCTTGATTACAAATAAACACAAGTTGTAAATAAAATATATTTTGTAGGGAGACTTCAGGCAAATCATCAAGCTATCAAAAATAATTTATATTTTCTTAAGGCTGACTTGATGGATTACACATTCAAAATGATATAAAATCCTCAAATGTGTTTCCTTTTTACATTACATTGTGGAAAATGCCTATGATATTATAAAAACTAAAAACATTGGTTACCTCAGGAAGGGAACAATGGCAATATCAGGTGATTTATTTGGTTCTCTCGTGTCAGATCTTGTTCCCAAATCCACAAGAGAATCAAACCTCCAGTTACTAACTGAGTTACGGGTTGAGATCCAACAGCAGCTGGCTGTTCTGGTATTTTAGAACAGGAAGAAAACATAGATATTTATGTCAACTACCTGAAGGATGCTATACAAACTTAATTCAACTCATTTAAATGTGAACATGTTATTTGGACTGGAAAAAAGCTTACCTGATGTTTACTGGTTTGTCATTAGGGAGTCTCCATGTCTCAACAGTTTCAGTTTCGCACCATCGGCTTTCATAGGATGGTGTGTTGGTGCTTGTGTCAATTTGATTTGTGGTTCGAGTGATGGCTGAGCCACAGTTCCCACCATAACAGTACCAGTAATGGAAGTTAGAACAAGAATCATAAGTATCTCTGGTTCGGAGGGACATCTGTGGTGTAAATATTCCAAAATAATATGTGGGTTAGAGTTTTCAGGTTTTATTTATGTCAAAGTGATTTTCTTTTAATCAAAAATGAATACAAAAGCATTCAATATAAACATTCTAAGTATGTATGTTTGTTTTAACAATTTGAAATCATGCCTTAAATTAAATTTTTAGACATGATTTTTGATAACTGTTTGAAACCTAATTTTAGTCATTCAGCAATCTACACGTATTTCTGGAACGCTGAAAAATTGGTTACGATTTATAAAAGTAATGAAACAATATTATTCCACGATGCTGTCTGCTGTTATCAGAAAAAAAGTAACATAGATTATTAATAGCCAGAAATATTTATAAATAAAAAGTATTTTTCACCTTATATGATCCATCAGGATTCCTTCCTTTGTAGGCGAAGTTCATGGTTCCTCCCCAGTGATGAGACGCTGAGACCAGGGAGGTCAGCAGGAGCAGCTTAAGAAAGAGCAACATTCTGGAGGCCATCATGATGCTCAAAGCTCAACTCAGTCTCCAGTAAAGATGCTCACACCCTGCAGCATCTTAAATACACCTGTCCAGTGGAAATGGGTGTCACTCAGGATCGAGGAATGCACACAGAACAATGAGGGAGCAGCAGAACTGGTTGGAAAACACAAACAGTCGGAACTTTGAACATATTTTACTTTAGATGCTGATATATCAGGCTGCAACTTAATCATCTAAGCAGTAGTTTTAAAGTGATTAATCAACTAATAAACATTTTTAGAAGGAACATTTTGAATGACTGACTGCATAAATAAATAAATAAATAAAAAAACAATCAGTAATACAGAAATAAGGAGCAAAAAAGGAGTTAATAAGAAGCTGTATTAAGTAACTTTATGAAAGAAAAATGTTTAGCTGAAAATCTATTGCTCTAACTTTCATTTATTTCTAAGTTTCTTTTTTAAAATGCAAAGTAAACTGGATTTGATACAGTAACTTTTCACCTTGTCACATCACTGATATGGAATTTAGCACAGCAACGCACCTGTTTCCTTTCAAAGCATATTTCGTCCTTTCCCAGAACAATGACAGTGTTTAAAATGAATGTGGGATTCTGCTTTCTGTTCTGTTTTATCATCAGCATCAAATATTTCAACAACCGAAATACCTGCAGTCAGGTAAGTTAAATGACCTCTAAAACTAAGCCCTGAAATGTTCTGGGTTTTATTTTTTTGTTTTAAATCTCAATAAAACCAGTTGTTCTGTTTATGGCCTCGGAAAGCATCAGGGAGTGGTGGCCTAGTTAGGGCGCAGAGCTTGGAGGTTCTGTGTTAAAGCCAACCTCCCACAGACTGCCAGTGTGGGTCCCTGAGCAAGACCCTTCACCCCACACTGCTCTTGGGCGCTGCACAATGGCAACACTCTGCTCCCCAAGGGGATCGGTTAAATGCAGTGTTCATTTCGTTGCTTTGTACTTGCGACAGTGTAATGACAATAAAACGCTGGGGAAAAAATCTGAAGACAACTAGCATCATGAAGACCAAGGAACACAGCAGATAGATCAGAGAGGATGTTTTGGTTTGGTTTAAAGTGGGATTAGCTTCAAGAACATTATTCCAATCTTTGAGCATCTCAATTTAGTGTGAGGATTCCAGTTTGTGTGGGTTGTTTGTTGTGTTTTATCTCTCCACCACCAGGTTGTGCCCTATCCTCGATGGCCCTCCCTGCACATCTTGCGGCTCGTTGGGTCATTAGCAGAGGAGTACTTGAGCAGCGGGCTGTCACCACCTCGACGCCAGAGTGTTTGCCAGTATTGGGTATTCTAACCAAACCGAGATTAGAAGAGTCTAACTTTAGCATTGTTTCTCTGAGTCTGAACTTGTTTTTTGTCTTTGTTCTTCGGCAGGAAGAACTCCTGTGTTACTGGATAAGCCTGGACCTTCTACCCCTTGAAAGATTTACTGAGTCTCACTGAGCAAGGGGAAAACCTCCACATGAATCGTTCAAGTCCACTACTGGAAAACCAAGTGACAGTCCGCTCCTTTACTCCTCTGGGTCCAATGTATGTGTTAGATTCAGAAAATGTAGGTTTGTAAAAAAATAGAAATTGAGTCTACACAGGAAAGAGATTCAAGTAACTTCTGCAGGAGCAGAAAGAAAAAGCCCAACCCAACTTCAAGCTTTCTTTCTCCCAATCCTCTACTGCAGCCGTCTTTTATTAACAGAACATAACACATGGTTACAAAACAGTATTTGTTCTGACAGAACAATTGATCAGTTCATAAAGACAAGATGCTCCATCAGAATGACAAGGCAGGATGGTCTCCTGACTGAATCACAAGACACAGTGCAGCATCCCCTTGCACAAATGTTTAATAAGCACACATTAATTTTATAATCATCATTGAATAAACCTGACATTTCCCTCCTGTTGTGCATATTAACATCAGCATGTAGAACTTCTAAAAAGATTGTTACTACACACATCATAAATGCATGGCAGATAGGGAATTCAGTAATCACAGATCAATATGCAAAAAACAAAAATATGAAAAGGATTAAAATGTAAAACTTAAGCAAAAATGTAAGATTTATCAAGAATGTAAAAAGCTTAAAAAATCTGACCCTTGAGTAGGCAAAACATCTCCAATAGAGGAAAATTCCTCCCCGATCCTCCCCGAGGAAGCTGTCATTATCCCTGTAACATATTACACAGTTGCAAATCATCAGTATCTTTATCAGCATCTTGGCAGAGTGGAACATGAGTTACAGCTGAATACTGGATTAGAGTGGATCCTATCATTCTCTGAATCATTGACTGGAGACATGGTAGTAAGCAACAAATAAAAAGGAAAAATATGAAAAACAATCCTACAAATGGTAAAGCTATCTTCATCAGCACCTGCCACCATGATCCCATGGTGAACCAACTTGTCCATGGTGCTGGACTTGCACCGGAGTTATGATGGACAACATACCTCTTTAGATCTTCAACTCATCCAGAGCGGTCTGTATGAGTACAAACATAACAGTCTGTTTTATTCAAACCTTCAGCAACACGTTTGGCATGCTGCCACCACAAATAGGCACTGTAGGGATGACTTGCTGTGGATCCATCAAAAACCATTCTGGTTTTCCTTTGTTTCAGGCGGTCAGTTTGAGTCCCTAAGAGCACCAGTCCAATGGTCACCACTTTAGTTTTCCCATCTTCACCAGTCCCTCCAAGCAAGCACCCACTAACCAGGACTCTAAAGGATTGGGTTAGGTTGGTTTCTTCACCAGCGTTGAGACGAAAAGCTCTAAATTGCTTAACCCCTTTGTAGCTGGGCTTCACCACAGATCCCTACCTTAGTCGTGGGGTCCCTGCGAAGGTAACTGGGCTTCCTGTTGGGGAAAGTCTTTAATCAGCTTACAATGACTCTGGTGGATCCAAGTGTCTCTCTCCTGGATCTTCACACCAGTTGGAGTTGCTAATTGCACAATGTAGGGTCCTTCCCACCTAGGAGCTGCCCAATTTTTCCTTTTGATGATTTTAATCAGCACTCGATCTCCAGGCTTCAGGCCTTCCTGTAGGGAAACAAAAGGAGCTCTGGGCAGATAACATGTTCTTCGCAACATGTGAGACATGCTCTGCAACATGTGAGACATGCTCTGCAAAAATTAGTAGTTATTTAATCCTGCAGTTGGATAAAATACTTGTTGTACTATACTTATCATCCCCCCTGTTGAGACATGGCCTTGACCATGACTAATCACCCCTACTGTTCTAAACAGGCTTTGTGGTAAAACTGGTTTATCCTTTATCATAATTAAGCCATCAGACTTTGTAACCACTCCTTCTCTTTTCCATTTTTCTTTTTCAGGTGCTGGAGCGTTTTTCTGCATATCTATAAGAATTTCTGTAGGAATTATTGTGCTGTCGTTTGACACATCTGCATTAGTCAGAAAGATTTGTGCTCTGGCTGCCTCCTTCGCTGCCTCCTTCTATTGTTTCTTTTGTTTACTACATCTTGACCATTGGTATGTGCTGTACATTTGCATATAGCTATGGCCCGTGGCAACAACACAGCTTTTAACAGGGCTGTTAATAAGTCTGCATGCTCAACCTTTCTCCCTGTACTGGTCACCATGCCCCAACGCTCCCACTGTGCAGCAAAATTATGAACTGTGGAAAAAACATACTGACTGTCCGTGAAAATATTTACATCTTGGTCTGTTGACATTTCACATACTTTTGTTAGTGCAACAATCTCTGCAGCTTGCGCTGAATATGATGATTTTAAGGCAGCACTGTAAAGGGTTTTTTGATAATCTACAATTGCAAAACCAACTAAGTTCTTTCCTTCTTCTGATCTGGAAGCTGATCCATCCATATACAAAATTTTATAACCCTCCTGCGGTTCATCTTTTAAATCTGGACACGGTTTGCAAAACATAGTTGTTCTTTCCACACAGTGGTGTGTCACCATCTTCTGGTGTGGGCAGCAAGGTTGAGGGATTCAAAGAGTTACAATTCAATTCAATTCAATTCAGTTTATTTATATAGCGCCAAATTCACAACACATGTCATCTCAAGGCACTTTACAGTTCAACCAGATCAAATTGATACAAAGTTTTCTATCTAAGGAAAACCAGTTGATTGCATTGACTCATTGACTCAAATACAATCCCCCACACTAAGCATGCTTGTAGCGACAGTGGAGAGGAAAAACTCCCTTTTAACAGGAAGAAACCTCCAGCAGAACCAGGCTCAGTGTGAGCGGCCATCTGCCGAGGCCGACTGGGGTTCAAGGAGACAGAAGCAGAGATACAAAAAGCAGCTGTAAAAGGCGGCCCCGTCCAGGAAACACACAGCCAGGCAGACGAGCTCCAAGGCAGCTCCCATGCCAGAGGACGAAGAAAGCACATCCACTCAGTCACGGTCAGAGAAACAGGACCACACTGGAAAACAGGCCGATCTCCAACATCTATAAACAAGGGTGTTGATAGAAGCAGCACAGCTGATGTTTCTTTCCAGGATGACGTCACAGCCAAACAGGAACAGACGAGGCAAAGCTACTCTGAGGAAAAGCAGAGAGAGCAGAAGGTTAGAGATTGAACTAACAGATTCTGCAGAATAGGAGAACAGAGAGAGAATGAAGCAGAATGATGAAATGGGGGTCCCTATGTCCTCCAAAAGTCTAAGCCTATAGCAGCATAACTATAGAGATAGCTCAGGATAACCTGAGCCACTCTAACTATAAGCTTTATCAAAAAGGAAAGTTTTAAGCCTAGCCTTAAAAGTAGACAGGGTGTCTGCCTCACGGACTAAAACTGGTAGTTGGTTCCACAGGAGAGGAGCCTGATAACTAAAAGATCTGCCTCCCATTCTACTTTTAGAAATTCTAGGAACCACTAGTAAACCTGCAGATTGAGAGCGAAGTGCTCTGTTAGGAACATAAGGAACAATCAGATCTCTGATATAAGATGGAGCTTGGCCATTTAAGGCTTTATATGTGAGAAGGAGGATTTTAAATTCTATTCTTGATTTAACAGGAAGCCAATGAAGAGAAGCCAGGATAGGCG